TTTAAGATAACCCAGATTTAACAAAAACTAAGAGTAAACAGGTTGAGTGTAAGTTTTTCCATACCTTCGCTGAAAATGCAAAGTTATCACTCCAGTCTTTTTTTTTTTTTTTTTTGTGAGACGAAGTTTCACTCGTTACCCAGGCTGGAGTGCAATGGCACGATCTCGGCTCACCGTAACCTCCGCTTCCTGGGTTCAAGTAATTCTCCTGCCTCAGCCTCTGTCTGTCCCCTGCCTCAGCCTCTGGAGTAGCTGGGACTACAGGTGCACGCCACCATGCCCAGCTAATATTTGCATTTTCAGTAGACATGGGGTTTCATCTTGTTGACTAGGATGGTCTAGATCTCTTGACCTCGTGATCCACCTGCTTCGGCCTCCCAAAGTGCTGGGATTATAGGTGTCACCCACCATGCCTGGCCCCACTCTAGTCTTAATAATTTAGAATCAAAATAAAAACACTCCACAACCCCTACTCCTTTCTCTCAAAAGGATCAGATTATTAAGGAAAAGAAAATGCATGTAATGAAGCTAACGGATACATGTATTGTTTAGGCACCCTTCCAAATGTAAAATTTTCAAAAAAATTTTTCATACTTTGATAATCAATATAAATCTGTGGTCTAAAACCAGGCACAGTGACTCACACCTACAATTCCAGCACTTTGGGAAGCTAAGGCAGGATGACTGCTTGAGCCCAGGACTTCAAGATCAGCCTGCACAAAGAGAGACCCCCATCTCTAAATAAATTAGGAAATAAATAAAACTGTGGTCTAGGAAATAAATGGAAGGAAAGAAACTAAGAGTTGACAGTCAAATATATAAACATACACACATCCATAGTCTGCAAATGCTTCCTACTTGCAGACTGTAAATGCACTATGTGATACTTTTCTGCTAAGTGCATTAGTCCTTACTTGGCTTTCCTGCTTCCTGGAGTTCACAGACTGAAGCAGGCCTTGAATCTCCATTTGGTGTTCCACCACTTGTTTGTGTCGATCACTCAGAAGGTCCTGCAGCATCCTTTCCTCTCGCCATAGACGCTGGCACAGCTCCTCCGCTACCTCACTCCACCCTGGTCCAAGTCTGCAGAGCAATGTTTGCACTATGATCCTAATACAGAAAGGACACTGTAAGTTTCTGGGGGAAAGAACTGCCTCTAGTAAATAGCAAAGGGCTTAAAAGACTATTACAGAAGAAGGAGCCGTGAGATTCTTGAAACTAAGCATCGTGTTTTACTCATTTTTGTTTTACCAGGCCCGGAACACAGAAGTCTCTAAATACATGTCCCAGGAATGAATACTAACAGAGAAAATTATCTCTAGTGGCCACTTATGTAACTATTGTTTTCTGAATTAAGTCTTCATCCTATTTGTTCAGGGCATGTAACAATTAATGTTAGTGAGGATAAATGGACACTCAGTTCATTTACTTTTTTTCTCCCCAGTGTAACCTTAGAGAGGGAAGCACAAAACGATAAGCGGAAAGGAATACTAAACACTGTATGTGCTATCATAGTGATGGTTTCAATTTCTGTACTACCCAAAGGTACATGGTGAAGGAAACGGAGGAGCCATACTGCCTAGCTTACTGGATCTGCTACTTATTAGCTATGTTAGCTTGGACAGGGTACTTAGCTTCAGAAGTCTGTATCCTCCTCTATAAAACAGGGATAATAGTATGTGCCTCATGGACCCTGGCAATGCTTCAGTAAAAGTAAGAGACAGCCAGAGAGAAGGAGAGAGAAATGTGTATTTACGTATGAACAAGAATTGGAAATAAATCAGAAGTATGTGAACAGAAACCAATATTCACTGGCTCGCCTCACAAAGTTCATATTACGAAAGAAAACAGAAATGCTAAAGTCTCTAACTTTCTAAACTACAAGGAAGGAACTATTGGCTGCTATTTTTGGTTTTCTCCTCGTATACAAAGCAGAATCCCCGGTTTTCAGAAAATGATGGAACGGGTCCTGCCTCAGGCTTAGAATACAAGTGGGAGAGGAACACGAAGTCAGAGATAGGTTTTGCTCTTACCTGCACAGTAGCTTCATTGGCGGTGTCCCAGGCACTGACCGCGTCAGCGGCAGTCAGAGGCATCTACGGTGCATGGGCGGCGTCCGCACCCCGTGGCGCGACAGTGGCGTCCGAGGCACTTCCGTGGCACCCCAGGCGCGGAAGTCACCTGTGGCGCAGTCACCGCATCAGGAGTGTTGGCGGCGCGGTAGGCTCGTCAGGGACGGCCGCGTTTCAGGCGTTGACAGCGTCAGTAACGTAGGCGGCGTCAGCTGCGCGCTCGGCGGCGTCCAGAGGGTCTGTGGCGTCCGCGACGTCAGCGGGCCAACAGCGACATCTCATGCGCTAATGGCGTGGGCAGCGTCTACGAGGTCTGCAGCTCCACGGAGGCGTCCTGAACACTTCGGCGGCGTCCCAGGTGCTGATGGCATCGGCGACGCAGTCAGCACCTCGGGAGTGTGGGCGACGCGGTAGGCTCTTCAGGGTGCGGCCGTGGCGCGGTTAGCGGATTGGCCGCGTCCCAGGCACTGTTAGTGTCAGTGCCCTCCGCGGCGTGGTCTGCGCGTCAGCTGCGTTGGCTGCGTCAGCAGCGTTGCAGGCGCGGTCCGCACTGGCGGCGTTGGGTGGGGGGAGGTCTATGGCGTCAGCGTGGTCGGCGCGTCACTGACGTCAGTGGTGCGACGGCGGCGTCTACCATGCGTCGGAGGGGTCCCAGGCGCTGACGGCATTGGTGGAGCGGTCAGCGCGTCTGGAACGTCGTTGGTGCGGTAAGCTGGTCGGGGGCATCCACAGCGCGGTCAGTGGCTCAGCGGCTCTGCAGCTTTTCAGCCACTCACAGGGTCAGTGCGGTCGGCGGCGCAGTGTGCGCGTCAGCTGCGGCAGCGGCACTGGAAGCGCGGTCCGCGCCCGCGGCTGGGGGGGGAGGGGTGAGTCTGTGGTGTCAGCGTGGGTTGCACGTCAGTGACGTCAGCAGCGCGACGGCAGCGTCTACAGTGCTTCGGAGGCGTTCCGGTCGCGCATCGGCAATGTTGGCGGTGCGGTAAGCTGGTCGGGGGCATCCATGGCGCGGTCAGCGGTCCGACGGCTTCCCAGCTGCTCATAGGGTCAGTGGCGTCGGCGGCGCGGTAGGCTGGTTGGGGACATCCGCGGCGCAGTCATCGGTTCGGCGGCAGGGTCCCAGGCGCTGACGGCGTCCACGGGGTCTGCGACACAATGGCGACCTCCCAGGCACGGTCAAAGCGTCGGGGGCATCAGCGTCGCAGTCTGTGTAGTGGGCATCTGCCACGTGTTGGGGGATGTCCGTGGCCCTTCTGCGACGCGACGGCGACGTCGACGTCCCAGGAGTGGATGGAATTGGCGGTGGTGGCGCGGTGGGCTAGTCGTGGGCGGCGGCAGAGCGGTCAGCGGGTCGGCGGCGTCCCAGGCGCTGACAGCGTCAGTGGCGGCGGTGGCGCGGTCCGCGCGTCGGGGGCGTAGGTGGCGCGTTCCCGGTCGGCAGCGTCCAGAGGGTCTGCTCAGTCCGCGCGTCGGGGGCGTCCGGAGGGTCTGCGGGGCGACAGCGGCGTCCGACGCGTGTTTGGCGCGTCGGCGGTGACTGAGCATCAGCGTCGCGGTAGGCTCGGGCCGCCATCGGTGTCGCGCGCCGGTGCGTAGGCGGCGGCGCGCTAAGTTAAGGTTTACCGGGATGTCCAGGCAGCATTTCCGACGTGAGTGCCACGGTGGAGCGGTAGCCGGGATCTGCACTGAAAGTTTAAGGTTTAGTAGGAAGTCAGGGTTTAGGGGGAAGTCCACCCAGCGTTTCCGAGGTGAGGGCGCTGCGCCAAGCCGGGAGAGCGGTGAGTCTGGGACCCGAGGCGCACAGCTGGGTCGATGTGCGTGCCGGGGGCCTCCACAACTTTTGCTGTGCCAGCGGGGCGGGCGCGCCGGGCCCCCAAGCATAAGTTCCCTGCATTGGATTCCTCGCTTGCTGCTGCCGGCCGCAGCCGTGCTCTCATGGGCTCTGGGGAAGAAACTCGCAGGCAGGTTTTCCTGTGGCATCCCAGGAGGTGGAGGGATGGAGCAGCTTCGTTGGCACATCTTCCTAGATCTGGTGGAGGACATTGACTCTTTGCCCCACCTTCGAGGCCAGAAATCGGTTCCCTCTGGGGACCTGAAGGGCAAGAGATCTCAAGCCCCAAATTTGCAAAGTTGGGGGTCTTTATTGGCCTCCAGGATTCCGCACCTGGCGATGTCTCCAGCTTGGTGGTGGGCAAGCCAGGTGTGCCAGATCCAGGAAGCAAGCACTAGGGGAGCATTTGTAGCCGTCGCTGAATCGCCTCAGGACTAGTGGGGCAAGCCTCAAATGACCCGCAGCATTTCCAGTAGGTTGGATTGTGGTGCTGCCATTTGCGCTAGAAAGAGTTGCTGTGGTTTCCCTGTGTCTGTCTGCCTTGGGAGCTTCTCAGATCATCTGGTTTGGCATCCTCTCTCAGAAGACTTCTGGAATGCTTTCCTCGATTTCCTTCTGTGTTTTGCTGGTAAAGCTACTTTCAAAAGGAAGTCTTTTCTTGCAGTGCTATCTTTTCTTTGACTCCCAGTGCTTGATGAAGTTAAAGGAAAGTAATCTGCTGGTAGTTTTTCATCTTTGATCTGAGCTGATATGTGTTAGTAGCTTTCTTTTGTTTTTAAATGTTATTGGTAAAATTTCACCTGTGAACCAGAAACTCGTTTTTTCTCTTCTAAAATGCTAGCTTTAAGATTTCTGAGAACTTTGTATCAAAGAAATCTTGGAAAAATTACTGAAGTCTACAGAAGCACCTCACAATTTTAAATGTGCAGGTGGTCCTGGGACCGTGGATCACACCTGTAATCCCAGCACTTCCAGAGGCCAAGGCGAGCAGATCAGTTGAGCCCAGGAGTTCCAGACCAGCCTGGGCAACGTGGTAAAACCCCGTCTCTACTGAAAAGACAAAAATCAGCTGTGTGTGGTGGTGTGTGCCTGTAGTCCTAGCTACTCGGCAGGCTGAGATGGGAGGATCACCAGAGCCTGGGAGGTTGAGACTACGGTGAGCCGTGGTCATGCCAGTGCACTCAGGCCTGGATGGCAGAATGAGAGCCCGTCTCAAGAAAAGAAAAAAAAAACAAAACAGGTAATGAATTTACACTAAGTAAATTTCACCACATATCAAGAAATAGAACATTACTAGATGGGTGTATAAATGTAGGAGTGGCATTGTTGGTTTTAGAGGTATGTGAATGACAAAACTTTAGTATCAGTTATTGTTGATCAATTTCACAAAGTGGTTGTACCGCTTAGCTGGGAATATTCTGGTTACCCCACATCTTTGCTTCTACTTGTCAATTCAAAATTATTTTGCCATTCTAGTTGAGGTGCAGTAATATATCAGTTTAGTTTCATTTGCATTTTCCTGCTATTGAGATTGAGTATTTTTTATTGCCATTTATATGTCCTGTTTTGTGAAGTGCCTGTTCAATCTTCATATCCTGTTTTCATTGATATGCTTGTTTTTCTGTTGATTTGTAATTCTTTATTCTGGATATGTGTCCTTTCTAGGATATATATGTATTATATGTATTACATTTCTCTATTTTTCAAACTGTAGCATGCCTTTTCACTATTTTAATGGTGTTTTTACATGAATGGAGATTCTCTGTTTTTGTTTTTTTTTTTTCTTTTTGAGACAGGATCTCATTCTATTGTTCAGGCTGCAGTGCAGAGATTTCACAACTCAATGAAACCTCCACCTCCCAAGGCTCAAGAGATCCTCTTGCCTGAGCCCCCAAGTAACTGGGACCTACAGGGGAGCACCATTATGCTCAGCTCTTTTTTGTATTTTTAGTAGAGATTGGGTTTTAACACGTTGCATAGACTGGTCTGGAATTCCTGGGATCAAGGGATAACACCTGCTTGGCCTCCCAAATCATAGAGATTACAGGCATGAGCCAGTGTACCCAGCTGAGTTTCTTAATTTTAGTCAAATTATCCTTAATCAATCTTTTCGTTTACGGTGACTGTGTTTTGTGTCCTGTTAATCAGTGCCTAACCTAAGAATATGAACACTTAATCTCATAGCAATTTTAGTTTAGTTTATGCTTCCCCACCCCCCACCCCCATGCCCCAGATAGGCTGTCACTCTATTGCCCTGGCTGGAGCTCAGTGGCATAATCTCAGCTCACTGCAACCTCCACCTCCTGGCTCAAGTGATCCTCCCCGCTCAACCTCCTGAGTACCTGAGACCATAGGCATGTGCCACCATGCCTGGCTAAGTTTTGTATTTTTTTTGTAGAGCTGGGGAGTCACCATTTTCCCAGGTTGGTCTCAAACTCTTGGGCTCAAGTAGTCTGCCTGCTTCAGCCTCCCAGAGGGCTAGGATTCGAGCCAACCCACCCACCCATGATTCACTTTTTACTACATGGATGTGACTGACAGCTTGATCCAGAACCATGTATGGAGAAGACCATCTTTGTCCTTCTGCACTGTGTAGCACTTTTTTTCATCAATTGGATGGCTGTATGGTCATGAGATTGACGAAATCAGTTTGGATCTGTTTCTGGACCAACCTGGGCAGCATAGCAAGATCCAATCTACAAAAAATAATAAAGAATAAAGAAATACATGAAATTTTTAAGTGGGTAGAGCAGATGGAGCCATAGGTGGTAATTTATAAACTATTGTCAATTTTCTTGGCTACATAGAGATGTTGGTAAGTGAGATCAGTTGGGAGTTCAGGCAAAATGTATTAAGTGAATTCTTCGGTGTTCAGAATGATTGCTAGATGTTGGTTGTGACTTCAGTTAGATGTTATTTGAGCCTCACAGAGCTACAGGTTTTATTCTCTTCTTTATTTATTTGTCTTCAAAGATTTTTACAATCTTCCTGTCAAGGCAGTACCTCTTTTATACTTAATTGTTCTTAGGTATACTTAATTACCAGGAAAATTTTGTGGATCATACCTTCTAAGCCACTTAAAGTAAAGGGCTGATGTGATGTAATGTAGACGATAGGATTCTACATAATAGTTTCAGGAGTATATTGATTAAATTGTTTCTTCTTTTTTTTTTTTTTTTTTTTCTTGAGACAGTCTGGCTCTGTTGCCGAGGCTGGAGTACAGTGTTGTAGTGGTATGATCGTGGCTCACTGCAGCTTTGACCTTTCAGGCTCAAGCAGCCTCCCACCTCAGCCTTCTTAAGTAGCTGGGACTACAGGCATGCACCACCATGCCTGGCTAATTTTGTATCTTTTGTATGCAGGGTCTTCCTATGGTGCCCAGCCTGGTTTGAAACTCCTGGACTCAAATGATCCTCCCACCTTGTCATTTCAAAGTGTTGGTATTACAGGTGTGAGCTATCACACCTGGCCGTTTTAGTTTTAATAATTTTATATTTTTCTAACTTAGAATATTGACTAAGTCTAATTTATGAATATGATATTCATTATGATTATTTTGTATGTATTTAACCTCATTTTAATATAAGCTTTTGGAAATTAGAGATGTTGCTTCTTATTTGCTACTGTGTTCTCAGTACTTGACCTTGCCTGGTATAATACAGTTATTGAAATAGTTATTAAATGAATGAATGAACCACATTCATAAATTCTCCAAGTATCACAGCGTTCACCATCTAATAAATAAAAGAGCTTGTCTAGAGTAGAGTCACAGTTAACCTGCCATACAAGGAAATGCCAATGAAAATCAACCTTTGTATGTGTAGCTGCTAAGATTTGGGTGCTTTTGTTACTGCAGCATAAAGTAGCGAACCTCAGTGAGATGGCAGATAGAATACACACACACACACACACACCAGATAGACCAATAGATGAGACTCCAAAGATAGTTCATTCAGCATTAACTAACCACACCTACACTCTCTTAATTTCCTAACAGAAAGAATGGAATTCCTGTTCACTAAGATCTGCCTCCAAGAGTACTTTGTGAAAACTTCTCTGGGTATGCAAGTATTTAATCAGGACCTTTTCTTTTTCCTCCTGCAGGTTGGAGTGCAGTGGTGCCATCATAGCTTACTGTAACATCTAACTCAAGGCTCAAGGGATTCTCCTGCCTCAGTTTCCCAAGTAGCTGAGACTGCACATGTGCACCACCATGCTTGGCTAATTTTTTATTTTCACAGACAGGGTCTTACTATGTTGCCCAGGCTGGTCAGGGCTGTTGATTGCCTACGACAGAAACCCAACCAACCCTAGTTCCCGCCACCTTTCAGTCTGCTCCTTTCTTAGTCTTCCGAGTCTCAGCAAATGGCTATTTCATCCTTCACGTTGCCCAAGCCCCAAATCTTAATGTTAACCTTGACTTCTCTTTTATGTCATAGCTTATATGAAGGCCAATCATGCTCAGACCCAGGCGGAGGTTCCTGCTGACCCAGGCTCTCACCGGCAAAGTGTCCTTTTCTGTCCTCCTGAGGGCGTCTGGAGCTTCAGTGCTGTGTGCTCTGGGCCTCCATACTGGGGCACCACCGACTCTGGCTGTCCAGGGCTTCCAGTGGACTCGCTGAGGCACTGATGTCGAATCTTCCCCATTCAGCGCACCAAGAGCAGCCTCCCACGGTGTGGGCTGACATGAAGAGCTGTCAGATCCAACAGGTAAAAATCATGAGGCACTGTCAGCTGGATGGGGTCAGAGAGTCCTCTCTCTATTGGGATTCAGATGAGAAGGGAAGATTCCATAGGCCCTAAACACCACAGCATGACCAGCGTGTGCCACCCACGAGCTGTAGTGCATTGTCATGTGGAAGTTATTTGACTTCAGGAGAGGACAGTGTTCTCTTCAGGCCTTTTTCCCAGTCCCTCTCCTCTCTCTTCCCCTCTCACCTCCTAGTCTCCATCCCCATTTGTCTCTCTTTTCACCTGCTTTCTCCTCTTCAGCTTTCATGGTTCTCCCGTCCACCCGCATTTCCCAGGCTAAGGCCTCTGCATTGTCCTGGGTGGGGAGATGTGTCTGGATTTAGGTGGTGCCCTCTATATGTGTCCAGGATGGGGAAGCATGGCTCAGCTGCAGTATAATGGTTTCAGAGAGTGGCCGCTTTTGAAGGCCTTTCAATCTCCCATTCTAGAATGGTGTGGGACGTAAAATTGATGGGCCACTGTGGAATTCTTGGTTCCTCAGGACCTTGTAGTGGATGCCATCTTTCACTGAGCATTCACAGGGTGGCTATTAGGTGCCAGGCCCTGCTCAGGGCTAGGGGCACCATAATGAGTAAATACCAGGTCACTATCCCATGGAACCCACCACTGCAGGTATCAAGAGGGGGAGAAAGAAAGCGACGTGGCCTGTTTGTGTTCTTCTCATATGGTCACCTGCCAGGTCCTGGGGGAGTGGGAGCCAGTGCAAGGAGAGAAGCCCAGTGAGAAAGGCAAAGGGACGATGTCAGACCCAGGGGCTAAGACCCCCACCTGCAGCCGGGTAGCTTCTGCAGTGGACGAGGAGCAGCAGGAAAGGTCATGGCCTAGTATTCAGGGCTTCACTGTCCCATCTCATTCCTGGGGATGCCAAAACTTGTCCAAAGGGAAGACTCAGTGTCTCTAGCAGCAGCAGGCCAGAGACAGAAAGTGTTCCAGAGAAGCAGGAAGGATTGTACGCCCTGGACACAGTGTATGGTTTTATAGTAGTGTCTGTCTGTCTCCCTGTCTCCCTGTCTCCCTCCCTCCCTCCCTCCCTCCCTCCTCCTCCTCCTCCTCCTCTCTCTCTCTCTCTCTCTCTCTCCCCTCTCTCCTCTCTCCTCTCTCCTCTCTTTCAACCTCAACTAGTTAGCATGTTGCTGTTAATGGAAAATATCGGTGGTGTAAGTTCCCCTGAATCTTCTCATCTTCATGTAAGTTTGTCTGTTCCCCCATCCCTCCCTTGTTTCCTTCTTTTCCTTCCTTCCTGAGTTTTCTGATCAGGGTCCTGTGAGGCTAAAATCCAGGAATGGCCTGGGAATGCTTTTTCTCTAGAGTTCAGGCTATTTTTCTGAGTTCACTGCATGTATTGAAAGAGTTTGTATTCTTGTTCGTGAAGGACTGAGGGCCATTTTTCTGTGCTGCCTGTCAGCCAGGAGACACTGACTTCAGATGCCACCTGCTTTCCTCCTTACCTATTTTTTCCATCTTTCAACCAATCACAACTCATGGAGTCCTTCTCAGGCTCCTCCCTTCTCTGACTTGATCTTCTCCAACCAGCCACAGAAAGCTCTGTCACCTGCGGAGAGATGTGATTCGATCTACTTCATGCAGGTAACTTCACCATCTTCAAGTCATGTAACTGTCATAGAACAACATGATCACAGGAGTGGTTTCTCATCACCTTAACAGGCTTCAGAGACAAGGGTATGGCATGTTTGGGGACCATTTCAGAAATTCCGTCTACCACAGTTGGGCACTCACATTCTCCCATCTGCAAAATACATGCACTCTCTCCTCTAAAGCTTCCAGATTTCATGTCATTAAAGCATTAGTACAACATGAAAAATGTCACATAAACCACATCAGATCCAAAGTTTAAAATCTCATCTAAAACATACACACCAGATGTGCATGAGGCTTCTGAGGGTGTCCATTAAGTACAGATCCTTGATATAATTTCCTTACCTCCTTCAACCTGTGAAACTGAACACACTGCTTATCTGCTCCTAATGTGGAATGGCTGGACAGACACAGAATAACAATTACAGTGATTCTAGTTCAAAAAGAAGGAACATGGAAGGGAGAAGGAAGTTACTGACCCAAAATCGTTTGGAAATGGAGCTGGGCAAAATCCAGCAGGAGGTTCTTAAGTAGGATCCACAGCCTGGGACTGACCCTGCATCCTGTGGGACTTTGCCCCAGGGATCTTTGCTCTGCATTTCTTGAAACCATTATTATCTATCTTGTTTTTTTCCTCACTCCTGTGGTTCTTCTCCTTTCTCCTCATGACAGCGTCCTCCGCTTAATCCTTGGTCCGTCATCCCCAGCAGAATCAGTCAGACATTGCCTGTGTCTCGGTCCTGACCGTCTCTACGAGGGGCTGTCCTTGTGAGCCTGTGCTCCTCTGGGACCGTCTTCACTTGTTCATTTCATTGAACAAGTTACTTGTAATAAAAGTCACTAATTGTAAATGTAGAATTTAATAATTTAAGTAGATATGTAGAATTTTGTAGCCATCGCCTCTGTCCCCACATAGAATTCATTTCTTACCTCCCCAGATTCCCCAGAGCCTCTCTGCAGTCATTTTCCAATCCCTGGTCATCACGATGGAGCCTGAACAAAATTAAAATTTGGAAAACAGAGCACATTACATTTAAGCTTTTATTAGATTGGAATTTTATATAATTGACCATTGTCTTACTCTTGTGTCAACTAGAGGAGATATTTCATTCTAAGGACTTTCTTTGGGGGAACTTAGTAGTAGTCCTGTTTATTGCTCTCCTTGAATTGGTTCATCTATGCTGGTGATACATAGTTGCTATCAAACCTTGTCTGGTGAGTGCAAGTGAAAGAGCCTTAAAAAAAACACCTTCTATTAGAAATGTAGATGATGAATTTGCAGATAATGTTATGTGGAGTTAAGTTTGTTTTTGAGCCGGAGTTTCACTCTTGTTGCACAGGTTGGAGTGCAAGGGTGTGATCTCGGCTCACTGCAGCCTCTCCTTCCCGGGTTCAAGCAATTCTCCCACCTCAACCTCCTGAGTTGCCTGGATTATGGGCATGCACCACCACGCCAAGCTAATTTTGTATTTTTAGTAGAGATGGGGTTTCTCCATGTTGGTCAGGCTGGTCTTGAACTCCCAATCTCAGGTGATTTGCCCTCCTCGGCCTCCCAAAGTGTTGGGATTCCAGGCATGAGCCATTATGCTGGAGTGCTATGGTGCAATCTCAGCTCACTACAACTTCTACCTCTAGGGTTCAAGTGATTCTTGTGCCTCAGCCTTTTGAGTTGCTAGGACTACATGCCTGGCTAATTTTGTATTGTTAGTAGAGACGGGTTTCTCCATGTTGGTCAGGATGGTCTCCAACTCCCAACCTCAGGTGATCCACCCACCTTAGCCTCCCAATGTGTTGGAGTTACATGCGTGAGCTACCACACTTGGCTGGGAGTTAAGTATTTTACCATCTTTTTACTTTCAGAAATTGTGTTGGTAACATTGAAGAGACACTTCTCACCTTCCTGAAATGCCCTTCATTATCTTCTTCAAGTTGAAAGGGCTCTGGCACAGCCCTTGCAGTGCTCCCACAAAGGTAAGTATAACATTTTACTGTAGTTCCTTGCTTTTTTTTCTCTTTTGTGCCTATAGGGCTTAGCATACATGTATCTGAAAATATAAAGAGTACAGATAGGCACCTGTAACTAGTTTTCTGTTGCTACCTTTTAATGCATTATAACAGGTTAGTGGTCTGAAACCACAGAACTCAGGAATGACTGGGTTCTCTGATTAGGGTCTTAGGAGGCTGACATCCGGTTATGAGCTGCTTGTGTTTTTCATCTAGAACTCAGGCTACTCTTCCAAGTTCACTACAGATGTATTGGCAGAATTCCTCTTCCTGTGGGTGGAGGACTGAGATCCCTTTTTCAGTCCTCCTGGCTGTCAGCCTGGAGACACCCTGACTGCAGAGGCCACCTGCATTCTTTCTCACTTTCCCCATCTTCCAACCAACCACAGCTCATGGAATTCTTCTCCAGCTCCCGTCCTCTCTCTGACTTTGTCTTCTACCCACTAGAGAAATCTCTGACATGTAGGGAGTGATGTGATTTGATCCGGCCCACTCAGGAAAGCTCAGCCCTTGTATTAGTCTGTTCTTGCAATGTTTCTTGTTTTGTTTTGGTATGCTTTTGTTTTTTGGGGTTTTTTTGAGATGGAATTTCGCTCTTGTTACCCAGGCTGGAGTGCAATGGCACGATCTCAGCTCACCACAACCTCCGCCTCTTGGGTTCAAGCAATTCTCCTGCCTCAGCCTCCCAAGTAGCCGGGACTACAGGCACGTGCCACCATGCCCAGCTAAATTTTTTGTATTTTTAGTAGAGACGGGGTTTCACCTTGTTGACCAGGATGGTCTTGATCTCTTGACCTCGTGATCCGTCTACCTCGGCCTCCCAAAGTGCTGGGATTATAGGCGGCCATCGCGCCCGGCCCTCTTGCAGTGTTATAATTCATGACCTGGGTGGTATATAAAGAAAGAAGTTTAATCAGATCATGGTTCTGTGGGCTCTGCAGGCTTCTGCTTCTGGGGAGGCCTCAGGAAACTTAATCATTGTGGAAGTGGAAGCAGGCACAGTCTTCACATGGCTGGCAGGGGGGAGAGAGCGAGAGAAAGGGGAAGTGCTACATACTTTTAAACAACTAGATCTCGTGGAAACTGTCAGGCGACGGCACTTGGGGGATGGTTCACAGCCATTAGAAACCGTCCCCATGATCCAATAACCTCCCTCCAGGGCCCCCCTCTAACACTTAGGATTATAATTCAACACGAGATTTGGGTGGGGACACAGAGCCAAACCATATCACTCTTTAAAGTTCTATGACTGCCATGTTACAGCGTAATTACAGGAATGTCTCACCAGCTTAACAGGTTCCAGAGATAAGGGTACAGCATGTTTGGAGACCATTTTAGAAATTCCACCTATCACAGTTCAACTTCTGTTCCCCAGCCATTTATATTCCTCAGAGATGTAAAATACATTCATCTTCTCACCTAAGGTTTCCAAGTTTCGTGTCATGAATGGGTTAGTTCAAAGTGAGAAATGTCATGTAGCTCTAATCTGATCAAAAGTTTAAAATCTCATTTAAATCATCTACACCAAGTGCAAATGAGGCTTCTGAAGGTGTCCATTAAGTACAAATTCTTTTTTGTTTTTGTTTTTGAGAGTGAGTCTCGGTCTGTCCCTCATGCTGGAGTGCAGTGGTGTGATCTTGGCTTCCTGCAACTTCTGCCTCCTGGGTTCCAGCGATTCTCCTGCCTCAGCCTCTTGAGTAGTTGAGATTACAGGCATGCACCACTGGATTCAGCTAATTGTTTTGTGTTTTTAGTAGAGACAGGGGTTTGCCCTGTTGGCCAGGCTAGTCTGAAACTCCTGACCTCAAGGGATCCATCCCCCTCAGCCTCCCAAGGTGCTGGGATTACAGACATAAGCCACCATGCCCAGCCAAAGTACAGATCCTTGATATAATTCACTTACCTCTGTTGGCCTGTGAAACTGAACAAACAGCTTGTCTGTCCTCAGTGTGCAATGGTGGGACAGTCACAGAATAATGATGCTAGTGATTCTTTTTCAAAAAGAGGGAAAGTGGAGGGAACAAAGTCACTGATCCAAAACCATTTTGAAATGGGGCTGAGCAGAGTCCAGCAGGAATGTCTTGATTAGGCTCCTCAGCCTGGAACTAACCCCCTGTGACAGGGGGCATTGCCTCTGGGCTCTGCATTTTTTTTCTATCATTATTGAACACATTTTATTTTCCTTCTTCCCCTATTCTTTGGTTCTTCCCCTTTCCCCTCATGGCAGCATGCTCCACTTAATCCTTGTTGCATCATCCCCAGCAGAATTGGTTGGGTATTGCCTGTGTCATGGTCGTGACCATCTCCAGGAGGGCCTGTCCTTGTGAGCCCATGCTCCTCTTCATTGTCCTGACCTCTCGCAGTCATGATTGCTTTTAGCTGACCTGGCTGGCTTAGGAGAAAACCTAAGACTATGGAGTCCCAGAACCCATCTCTGCCCTCTCTATCTCTAAGAGAGGAAGAAAATAACAGGGATCTTCTTGGAGAAATGACCCACGTGAGGGCCTGGACTCTCTAGCAGTTAACAGCAGAGAAAACTCCCTGAGGAAGAATGGAGGAGCTGAGAGCCCAGGCCGGGAAAGCAGGGTTGTGTGAAACACTCTTTAATCCTGTGTGCTCCCTGCCCCAATCTAGTGGCTAGTGAATGACAGCTGATCGAGTATAAATGCCAGGACTATAGAACTGTGATAAAGGGTTTGTCCAAGGAAAGGGGCTTTTACAGTTTTGTTTTCACAGAGGAAATTGGTATTTTTAATCTAAAGTTTTCTGAAAGGCAGCAGTGAAATTCTGGAGGGTGAGTTACCTGCACTGCACAGGGAGGCTGAGGCCAAGGCTTGTGTGTGGGATCTGCTGCCACCAAGAGGTGAGGGTGCCTGGGAGAGTCTTAGTCTTTCTGGGCTTCAGGTTCCTTATCAGTAAGGTAGGGGCTTATTGTACCTCTCTGAGGTCCCTTCCTGCTCTGTTTTCTCTGAGTCTCCAAGGAATTGAGATGGTTTTTAGTGCTGACTGGGACCCTCAGCTGAGACCTGACTCTGTCTCCTGGAGGAGCCTGAGCTGAGGCTACACCCTGAAATCCCAGAGCTGAGGAAAGAAAGAAAGTCAGCAGGTTTAGGGGATGAGTATAATCCACAAAGGACAAGCCATTGATAGATGAAAACCAAAGAAGGGGAGAATAAGGACAAACTGGGACAGAAGCCTCAGGGGAAATGGGCAATGTCTATGATCACTTAAATTCTCAGGGAGCAGCATGAACTGAGTAGTGGGGACAGAGAGAGAAACTTACTCCACAGGAATCTCCTGCCTCTGGCCAGGGAGAGCCATAGGGTAGATCAGAGCTGGTTTATAGCGAGGGGCAGCTTCAACTCCAGGAGGGGGAGGATGCGACCGTGAGCCCCCCTCCCTCAGACCCAGGAGCCTCGACCTTGGGGCTGCCGTAGCAGTGGATGCTCTTCAGGTTACTGTGGGTTCGAGGGAATAACTGTGCTTAGAGAAGGTTTGGAAGTGTTCATTCTTACATCGAACAGCTCTGCCCTAGGTCAGGTGCCAGAGTAAGTGTCCCTCAATTGTATGTGAAGCAGTGATACTTTACTATTCTTCTGCACCTTCACTTGAGGGAAGCTTCTCATAAATTTTTATTGAGTATTTAATTTTCTTCATACTGTGCTAAGCAGTTGGGATTCAGCTATTTAACATCTCCAAAGAAAAGCCAGTGAGTGGAAGAAGAACACAAACAGATCATTTCAACAAGATACGGTAGTTCTACCCAACTGAGGTGTTGTGGCAGCCTGGAGGCTGGGAGGGTATGTCAAAGGACATTGCTCCTAATGACAGGGGGAAGCATAAGAGAACATTTTCAGATTGTCCAGGACTCGTGGCTGATGCCTATAATCCCAGCACTTTGGGAGGCCGAGGCGGGTGGATCACAAGATCAAGTGATCGAGACTATCCTGGTCAACATGGCGAAACCCCATTTCTATTGAAAATACAAAAACATTACTTGGGCGTGGTGGTTCATGCCTGTAGTCCCAGCTACTTGGGAGGCTGAGGCAGGAGAATGGCTTGAACCCGGGATGCGGAGGTTGCAGTGAGCTGAGATCACACCATTGCACTCAAGCCTGGGTAACTAGAGCAAAACTCTGCCTCAAAAAAAGAAAAATTTCAGAACAGGCTAGCCTTCCTTTAAGCTCCCACAGGAGAGGATCCTGGGGCAGGGATGGTGTAGGGCAGGCACCTCTCTAGAGAAGGGGATTTGCAGCATTCTGAGAGAAAGAGCATCCTTACAAGATACTGGTGACAGAAATGTAGGTGAAAGGGTTGGAGGTTTGTAATCAATTTTATTCAGTCATGAACACTGCTGAGAGACCCCTGTGTGCTGGGCCCTTAGCTAAGAACCATGACCACAGAGGTGAGTAAAATAGGATCCCAGCTTTCACACAATTCTCATTCTAGTGACTGGTGATTGATGAGAAGTGTAGTCATGGTGGGTTCATTGGAACCAGTGGCCGATGCTGCATGAGATGACCTCAGTGTATGGCCTAAGCCAGTGATTCTGGACTTCTGCCATATTTCAGCATATGGAGGTACAGTGCACCAATACCTCTGCTCCATGTGGAGTCAAAGCAGTTAACACAGACAAGATATTCAGAGGACACTGATGATATCAGTAGCTATTGACTGTTTCCAGCTGGGCAAACAAAGAAGTAAATTTAATAAGTCTTCTAAATTTGTCCTTGCCATGATGATAAATAACTTTACCTTGATAATGAATGATATTCTGGCAGATTACTTATAAGTTACCAAAATGAGAAGTAACTTTATGCTGAGTACAGCGGGCACACAAGCCCTTGAGGACACATGCCTGAGGATTCCGATGAGGATATAATATCCAAATATGTACATGTTTGGACCTACAGTCCAGCTTTGAAACAGTAAAAGACCTAGTTTCAAATTCAAGGTTGCTTTGAGTAGAAATTCACTTTACCTCTCTATGCATGGCAATTGGGCCAGTCTTCCCTGAGTTGCCCCTTACAAGAAAAGCAATCATGCTGGCAAGTTGTCAGACTTCAGCAGACATGGGTAAGTAAGGAAGTCTTACCAATCTATTTGAGCCACCTAGCGAGAAATGAGAAATTTAGCAAGTTCATTCACATTCAGGACAGTTGTGTACACTAGATCAGAGGTCCTGGTACATGAAGAACAGACCCCTAACAAGGGCAAGTGTTCCTTCCTGTCCTAGGACATCACTTCAGGGAAGTGGGAACACAGCTGCCTGCTTTACAGTATGGGTTAGTTTTGTGCCTGGAATGTGTCTGACGTCCTGCTACCTGTACCCATTTCAGGGAGCCTTGGGAGGAGCCTAAATCACTGATGGAATTGGACAGTGCATGGAGATGGTTGAGCAGGATGAGGGTAAGTGCAGGGGCATGGCCAGGTTATACTGGGAGACAATGAGTGGCACTGATGGGGACAGACACAGATAAAGTCAACAGTTTGTGCTTCAGCATCAAAAACACAAACCAATAATGAATGTGCTTTTATAAGTAATAATATTTTTTTATTTACATGAGAATTTAATCTCAAAACAGAAATCATAAAAATAATAAGTCCAGCGCATAAAACCTAAACTATAGCTCATATTTATTCTTTCTAAATGGAGCTATCAGTAAATCTTCTTCATAAAACATATTGTTATAAAAAGGCAAAATTTCACCAGGTACGGTGGCTCACGCCTGCATTCCCAGCACTTTCGGAGGCTGAGACGGGTGGATCACGATGTCAGGATATCAAGACCATCTTGGCCAACATGCTGAAACCCTGTCTCTGCTAAAAACACAAAACTTAGATGGGCGTGGTGGCATGTGCCTGTAGTCCCAGCTACTTGGGAGACTGAGTCAGGAGAATCACTTGAACCCAGGAGGCAGAGGTTGCAGTGAACCGAGATTGTACCACTGCATTTCAGCCTGCATCAGACAGAGTCATGACTCTGTCTCAAAAAAAGAAAAAAAGCAAAATTCGTAGTGAAAATCATAGGTGTTCCTTAGAAGAGAGAATTAAATATAGTCAAGGGAAGACCAAGTCTCATAGTTCTCTTGTATATTCCAAAGTTTCAGGGAAATTCCAGGTAACAGAGGATATTTCCCATGCTGTTAAAGCAAGGTTGCAGACACTAATGAATTCTGGGCCCAATACTCTAGGAGGAAACACCTCTGTCCTGGAAAATGAGACAGGATTGAATACTTTTCCTATGACTCATTCTGGTTATTCATCCAGGATCACAGAATCTAAACAATGGAATATGGCCAAATTCATGATTTGCTAACCCTCTTCTCAGGTTTCTTACCTGACTCTTAGGATAACAGCATTACCTTGAAGAATATGATGAAGATATGCTGTCCAAGTATGTGCACAGTTTTGAGCAAAATGCCTGATACAAATTGGTCAACAAACAATTACTGGATGATGATATGAATATTTACTTAATGACATGGATCCTATGAATAACTGTGGAATAATTGTTGTGATTGCTTTTATTAGCAGTGCTCAAAACTCATCTCTGTGTGACCTCAAGTCAGCCACATAACTTTGTGAACCTGCAGTTTCATCAGTTTTAAAATGAAGGAACCTGACAGATTCTCATTCTGTAACAGAATGTCAGGCCTCCCAGACACCAGAACATACCTTTACGTAAAGCCTTTGATATATCTCCAAGCAGTATCTCTACAGTGTAGTTGGAGGATGGTGGGGGCTGCAGAGAGGCATGCTTTCCAATGGGATTCAGGCAGTCCTTCTTCCTTGACTTCCAAATGAATGCTGGGCAGCCCAGGGTCACACCCATTGCACCCTCAACTCAGGCAAGCCCAGCAGCCAAACATAGGAGACTTGGGCTACAGAACAGTCTCCCAAATCCCAGACTCACAATCCCTACGTGGAGATGACGGCTGAGAAAGTAAGGGGGTGGTTCAGGGGATCACTCTTCCCTACTCGTTCCTCTCATCTCAAATTCACTTTCCGTTGCACAGCAACACTGAGGACCACCAACCACCCCTGACCATCACCTTGATCTTGTTGTGTTTGGTTAGTGGGATGCACCCACACATTATTGGTGTTAGACCAACTCAGAGAAATATCTATCAAACAGTGTTCCATAAGAACCACTCATGGCCCTGTTGTTTTCAATAAATGGAAAAAGTGAAATGAAAACAACAAAGTCATACCAGGTTCCCAAGACTTCCCAAGATAGATGGTCACACATGCTTTCAGGAGATCTCTATAGAAATGGTTTCACTGATGCAACACCTTGAAAAGAGCTCTTCTGGGACTAGAATGACATCTATAAGTGACAAGTATGAGATGTAGTATTAAGTCATATTAAAAAATCATCCCACATAGAGGAAGCTTTGGACATAGGGATGCCACACTGGTCTTAATTGTAATGAAAAGCCTCTTCTGCCACAAACATCAGTGTACTGGTACCTGCCAGTAAGAAAAACTAAATCACCATAACCATGGGATGCAGCAAGAATAATATTGAGCCAGGAAAGAAAACATTTTTAAGACTCAGAGGATATCATGGCAGTGTAATAGATTGACATCTTAAACTTGTGGAAAAGCCTAAAATTCTGTTTTGACATGTGAGAAGGACTTACCATGTTTAACATGACTGACTTTATGACTAGCATTAAGAAAGTATCACATGTTGGGAAACTGTTTCTGCCTTGATGATTTTATACACATAAGAGATGAAAAATGAGGCACATGCTTAGATGTATTGGGAATGAGATGGCACTGTGGCATTGTCACAACGGTACACAAATACTGAGAGTGACTTATAGAGTAATGGTCCCCATCTGTTATGACCTCAGGTGAGACCAGGAGGCCTGTGTTTTAGCAAACCCTGGGCAGTTGGAATGAAGGGCTCCTAAGATTCCATGACACGCCCAGCTTTTAATTCTGTTATTGCAACAGCAGACGGTTACCTGGGACACTGTCCGCTATCTCTCTCACTCTTGTCAGAGTCTGAGCTACAGGCAGCGCCTTCAGTTCTCAGCTCAAGGATTTTCAACTTTGTTTTTGCGGTTAAGGACCCCAAAGTGCTGTGAGGAGGGATCGAGTTTTTCTCAACAGTAAGTTAAGAATTTGAGTTCCTGACATCCCCCAGTCCTGATGAAACCTATTTGATTTCCAGTTTTTAACCGATCATGTGTTTGTGTTTCTTCTCCCAGTCCCTGGCCCTACCTGTGGTGCCCCAAACGTCAGCATGATAGCATCTGGCAGGACGTGTTCCAGGAAGACCACAGAGGCAAACTTTCCAGATACCATCGAGAATTCCTACTCCCAGCAGGAAGAGACCAAACCAAATATCGGAGCCAGCAAAAATAGACTTCTTCTGAGTCAGGTGGCTTACTTCCTGAACTACCAACTGAAGACCTACAGTAAGTTCTATAGGTTGACCATCATGAAGGTGATGAAGGATGTCCTGTCTTGTCTCAAGAGACTAACCGTTCTCTTAATCAAAATTAATTTCATCCTTCCCATACTTAAACTAGCAATGGGTATTTTAACATTTACTTAAAGATGGAAGACAGTGGCAAAAGTATTTAGCAACTTTTCCACATCTACAGTAAGGTGGGTGCAGGACTGGGGTTAAAATCCCAGCGATTGATTTCTGACACAGGCACAGAACCACCTGTTTTTCTCACCAAAAGGCTAAATCATGTTTACAGGAATCCTCTCTGTACCATACAAGATGCTACATACAAGTAGCATCTAGTCTGTTGGTCTAAATGTCTGAGGCTACTGAACTTCCATTTGGTTCCGGTTTCTGCTGAGGCCCAGTAGACAAAGCTGTGTTCTGGGACACTGGGAGAAACACAGTGGTAGCATACAGTACCCACTATGAGAAGCTGCAACGGGACCCTGCTCCTAATAGAACCTGTGGTATCTATAAGTGACACCATCAAGGGCAGGGAGTACCCTGGTACTGGTGCCTCAGCCTCCCAATCAGCTGTAATCTCCGATGGGCACCAGCACACCTGGAAAAATTTTGTATATTTAGTAGAGGCAGGGTTTCACCATGTTGGCCAGGCTGGTCTTGAACTCCTGAGGTCAAGTGATCTGCCTGCTTGAGCCTCCTAAAGTGCTGGGATTCCAGGCGTGAGCCACCATGCCTGCTCCACGGATTCTTTTTTCAGTAGAGATTGTTAGAATTCATCCCTTGGTCCACTCTCCTATATAAATTTCTCTAACAATTCATTGGCAATGATATATGATCAGATAAATCAGTATTACAACAATGCTTCTGGAAAGTAGGGCAATTTTTGAAGATTTTGGGGACAAAGGTTTAATTTCTTGCACTGACTTAGGTAAGATGATGTGACTTAAGATCTACCAGATGGAGGTTTTGTCCCATGGATTTGAAAAGCAGGCTCATCTACTTCTAGGGTGACTTAACCTAGGGACCAGTAGAACATTCCTGTCAGAATATCACATTCTTACCCTGAGAATATTTTACATCCTTGCGCTATGACCGAACACCGTTTTGGTCTCGTGTGAAGTGTGATTTCCTTAATGTGACCTGCTCTTTTGAATTTGTTTATAGGAGATCGAAAAGATCACGATGAAGAACAGAAAGACAGAGACAGCAAAAATAAACTTCTTATGAGTCAAGTGGCCTACTACCTGGGCTGCCGGCTGAAGATGGAAGGTAAGTTCTCTAGGTTCACTGTCTCAAAAGTGATGAACAGTGTCCTGCCTTGTCTCTGAGAATTGATGCACTCTCTTCAGAGTTGATTTTACCCTACCCATACTTCTAGGAATATAGCAATGGGTATTTTAACATTTTGTTAAAATATGTTAACAAAATACTGGAGGACAGAGGCCAAAGTATTGAGCAACATTACCACATCTGCAGTAAGGGGGGTGTGGGACTAGTGTTAATATCCCAGCAATTGATTCCTGATACAGGCACAGAACCACCTGTATTTCTCAGCAAGAGGCTAAATCATGTTTAAAGGAATCCTTCTAACATAGACGATCCTGCAGAACTCATAAGCAAGATAAAGGTAGAAGTGTTAATTTCCTGGTTTCAAGGTGACTGAGTAGTTAAGACAAGTTGACTATAAAGAGAATGAGAGAGGAGGTAAGAAGAGTAAAAGCAGGGAAAGAACATCTTCAAATCAACAGGCAAGGCTGTCAGTGACATCGCTCAGTCCCGATTAAACCAATTTGATGTCACCAGTTTCTAACCCATCATGTGTTTGGGTTTCTTCTCCCCAGTGCCTGGCTATCTGTGTTCTGCCCCAAATGTCACCACGGTGGCATCAGGCAAGCCTCCTTCCAGAAAAAACACAGAAGTGAACATTCCAGAAGACATTGAGAAATCCTGCTCCCAGCAGGAAGAAAACAAAGCAGATTTCAGAGCCAGCAAAAATAGACTTCTTCTGAGTCAGGTGGCCTACTTCCTGAACTACCAGCTGAAGACCTACAGTAAGTTCATAGGTTCACCACCACGAAAGTGATGATGTCCTGTGTTGTCTTGAGAAACTATCAAGTTTCTTCATCAAAATTAATTTCATCCTTCCCATACTTGCAGAAAATAGAAATGGGTATTTTAACATTTTGTTAAAGATGGAAGACAGAGGCCAAAGTATTTAGCAACTTTTCCACCTCTGCAGTAAGGTAGGTGTGGGACTGGGGTTACAATGCCACCTATTGATCTCAGGCACAGAACCACCTGTTTTTCTCAGCAAGTGGCTAAATCCAGGTTCACAGGAATCCTCTCTGTACCATATAAGATCCTGCAGACAAGTAGCATCTAGTCTGTTGGCCTAAGTGTCTGAGGCTACTGAACTTCCATTCACTTCTGGTTTCTGCTGAGGCCCAGTAGGCAAAGCTGTGTTCTGGGGACACTGGGGGAAACACGGTGATGGCACACAGTACCAGCTGTCTGGAACTTAGGGGGGACCCTGCTCCTAATAGAACCTGTGTTATCTGTAAGTGGCTCCATCAAGAGCAGGGAATACCCTGGTACTGGCGCCGCAGCCTCCCAATCAGCTGCGATCCCCGGTGGGAACCACCACACTTGACTAACTTGTATTTTCAGTAGAGGCAGGGTTTCACCTTGTTGGCCATGCTGGTCTTGAACTCCTGAGGTCAAGGGATCCACCCTCCTGGGCCTCCTAACTTGCTGGGATACCAGGCATGAGCCACCATGGTGGCTCCACAGATTCTTTTTTCAGTAAAGGTTGTTAGAATTCATCTCTCAGTCCAGTCTCCTGTATAAATTTCTCTAACCATTCATTGACCATGATATATGATGAGATAAATCAATATTACAGCAATGCTTCTGGAAAGTAGTTAGGGCAATTTTTGTAAGATTTTTGGGGAAAAGTTTTAATTTTTTGCCTGATTAAGGTCTACTGGATGAGGGAGATTTTATCCCATGGATCAAAAGCAGGCTCACCTACTTCTAGGGCAACTTAGTCTAGGGCCCTTTAGACATTCCTGTCAAAATACCACATTCTTACACAGAGAATATTTTACATCCTTGTGCTATGAGTGGGCACTGATTCGGTCTTGTGTGAAGTGTGATTTGCTTATTGTGACCTGCTCTTCTGAATTTGTTTACAGGAGATCGAAAAGATCACGATGAAGAACAGAAATGCAGAGACCGCAAAAATAAACTTCTTATGAGTCAAGTGGCCTACTACCTGGGCTGCCGGCTGAAGACGGAAGGTAAGTTCTCTAGGTTCACCATCATGAAAGTGATGAACAATGTCCTGTTTTGTCTCTAAGAAACGATACACTGTCTTCTTGAAAGTTCATTTCATTCTGCGCATACTATCAGGAATGTAGCAATGGGTATTTTAACATTTTGTTACTGATGGAAGACAGAGGCCAAAGTATTTAGCGACTTTTCCACGTCTACAGTAAGGCAGGTGTGGGACTAGTATTAATATCCCAGCTATTGATTCCCGATACAGGGACAGAACCACCTGTTTTTCTCAGCAAGAGGCTAAATCATGTTTACAGGAATCCTCTCTACCATATAAGATCCTGGAAAACTTATAAGCAAGATAAAGGTAGAAGTGTTTATTTCATAGTTTCAAGGTGACTGAGTAGCTAAGACAAGTTGAATTTAAGGAGATCAAGAGTGGAGATGAGAAGAGTAAAGGTGGGGAAACAACATCTTCAAATTGATAGGCAGTGCTATCAGTGACATCCCTAAGTTCCGATCAAACCAATTTGATGTCACTAGTTTCTAAAGCATCGTGTGTTTGTGTTTCTTCTCCCCAGTCCCTGGCTATCTGTGTTTTGCCCCAAATGTCAGCACGGTGACATCTGGCAAGCCTCCTTCCAGAGAAAACACAGAGGTGAAAGTTGCAGATGGCATTGAGAAATCCTGCTCCCATCAGGAAGAAAACAAACCGACTTTCAGAGCCAGCAAAAATAGACTTCTTATGAGTCAGGTGGCCTACTTCCTGAACTACCAGCTGAAGACCTACAGTAAGTTTTATAGGTTCACCACCACGAAAGTGATGAATAATGTCCTGTCTCCTTTTGAGAACCTAACCACTTTCTTAATCAAAATTAGTTTCATCCTCTTCATACTTGCAGAAAATAGAAATGGGTATTTTACCATTTTGTTAAAGATGGAAGGCAGAGGCCAAAGCATTTAGCAATTTTTCCATGTCCGCAATAAGGTGGGTGTGGGACTGGGATTAAAATCCCAGCTATTGGCCGGGCGCGGTGGCTCACAAGTATAGTCCCAGCACTTTGGGAGGCCGAGGTGGGTGGATCACGAGATCAAGAGATCGAGACCATCCTGGTCAACATGGTGAAACATCGTCTCTACTTAAAATACTTAGCCAGGTATGGTGGTGTGCGCCTGTAGTCCCAGCTACTTGGGAGGCTGAGGCAGGAGAATTGCTTGAACCCAGGAGACGGAGGTTTCGGTGAGCCGAGTTCGTGCCATTGCACTCCAGCCTGGGTAACAAGAGTGAAACTCCATCTTAAAAAAAAAATCCCAGCTATTGATTTCTGACACAGGCACAGAACCACCTGTTGTTCTCAGCAAAGGGTGAAATCATGTTTACAGGAATCCTCTATACTGTGTAAGATTCTGCGGACCAGTAGCATCTAGTCTGTTGGTCTAAATGTCTGAGGCTAGTGAACTTCTACTTGGTTCTGGTTTCTGCTGAGCCCCAGTAGGCAAAGGTGTGTTCTGGGGCACCAGGGGAACACAGCGATAGCACATGGTACCTCCTGTGAGGAGCTTGAAGGGGACCCTGCTCCTAATAGAACCTGTAGTATCTGTAAGTGGCACCATCAAGAACAGGGAGTACCCTGGTACTCGTGCCTCAGCCTCCCAATTAGCTGGGATCCCTGGTGGACACCAAAGCACCTGGCTAATTTTTGTATTTTTAGTAGAGGCGGTGTTTCACCATGTTGGCCAGGCCGGTCTTCAAGTGATCTGCCGGTCTGGGCCTGCTTAAAAGCTGGAATTCCAGGCAGGAGACACCGGGCTGCCTTCACAGATCATTTTTAAGTAAAGGTTGTTAGAATTCATCCCTTGGTCTTGTCTCCTATTATAAATTTCCCTAACCATTCATTGAGCATGATATATGATGATATAAATCAGTATTGCAGCAACGCTTCTGGAAAGTGGTTAGGGCAATTTTTGAAGATTTTGGGGACAAAGTTTTAATTATTTGCACTGACTTAGGTCAGAGGATATGTGATTAAGATCTACCAGATGAGGGAGATTTTGTCCCATGGATCTGAAAAGCAGGCTCATCTGCTTCTCAGGTGATTTAACCTAGGGCCTGTTAGAACATTTTCGTCAGAATATCACATTCTTACCCTGAGAATATTTTACATCCTTGTGCTATGACCGAACACTGTTTTGGTCTTTTGTGAAGTGTGATTTCCTTAATGTGACCTGCTCTTCTGAATTTGTTTACAGGAGATCGAAAAGATCACGATGAAGAACAGAAACGCAGAGACAGCAAAAATAAACTTCTTATGAGTCAAGTGGCCTACTACCTGGGCTGCCGGTTGAAGACGGAAGGTAAGTTCTCTGGGTTCACTGTCTCGAAAGTGATGAACAATGTCCTGTCTTGTCTAGGAGAAATTATACATTCACTTCTTCAAAGTTAATTTCATTCTTCCCATACTTCTAGGAAAATAGCAAAGGGTATTTTAACATTTTGTTAAAGATGGAAGACAGAGGGCAAAGCATTTAGCAACTTTTCCACATCTGCAGTAAGGCAGGTGTGGGACTAGGGTTAATATCCCAGCTATTGATTCCTGATACAGGCACAGAACCACCTGTTTTTCTCAGCAAGAGGGTAAGTCATGTTTACAGGAATCCTCTCTAGCATATAAGATCCTGCAAACATAGAAGCAAGATAAAGGTAGAAGTGTTTATGTCCTGGCTTCAAGGTGACTGAGTACCTAAGACAAGTTGACTTTAAGGAGATCAAGAGTGGAGATGAGAAGAGTAAAAGCGGGGAAACAACGTCTTCAAATTGATAGGCAGTGCTGTCAGTGACATCCCTCAGTTCCGATTAAACCAATTGGAAGTCACCAGTTTCTAACGCATCGTGTGTTTGGGTTTCTTCTCCCCAGTCCCTGGCTTTCTGTGGTCTGCCCGAAACATCAACAAGGTGGCATCTGGCAGGCCTCCTTCCAGAAGAAACACTGAGTTGAACATTCCGGAACGCATTGAGAAATCCTGGTCCCAGCAGGAAGATAAACCGAATATCGGAGGCAGCAAAAATAGACTTCTTATGAGTCAGGTGGACTACTCCCTCAACTATCGGCCGAAGACATGCAGTAAGTTCTATAGGTTGACCACCGTGAAAGTTTTGAATGATGTCCAGTCTTGTCTTGAGAAACTAACCGCTCTCTTCATCAAAATTAATTTCATCCTTCCCATTTTTGTAGAAAATAGCAATGGGTATTTTTAACATTTAGTTAAAATTGAAGACAGACGCCAAAATATTTAGCAACATTTCCAGATCTGTAGTAAGGTGGGTGTGGGACTGTGGGACTGGGGTTAAAATCACAGCTATTGATTCCTGACCCAGGCACAGAACCACCTGTTTTTCTCAGCAAGAGGCTAAATCCATGTTTCCAGGAATCCTCTCTGTACCGTGTAAGATTTTACAGACAAGTAGCATCTAGTCTGCTGGTCTAAATGTCTGAGGCTACTGAACTTTCGTGCAGTTCCGGTTTCTGATAAAGGTCCAGTAGGCAAAGCTGTGTTCTGGGTACCCTGGGGGAAACACGGTGATAGCAGACAGTACCCACTGTGAGGAGCTTAAAGGGGACGCTGCTCCTAGTAGAACCTATGCTATCTGTAAGTGGCACCATCAAGAGCAGGGAGTACCGAGGTATTGGTGCCTCAGCTAGCCAATTAGCTGGGATCCCCGGTGGGTACCACCACATCTTGCCAATTTTTTTGTTTTATGTAGAGGCAAGGTTTCACCACGTTGTCCAGGCTGGTCTTGAACTCCTGAGGTCAGGTGATCTGCGTGCCTGGGCCTCCTAAGTTGCTTGGATTCCAGGTGTGAGCCACCATGCTGGCTCCACAGATTCTTTTTCAGTAAAGGTTGTTAAATTCATCCGTCGGTCTGGTCTCCTATATGAATTTCTCTAACCATTCATTGACTATGATATATGATGAGATAAATCGTATTGCAGCAACCCTTTTGGAAAGTAGTTAGGGCAAGTTTTGAAGGTTTTGAGGGAAAAAGTTTTAATTGTTTGAACTGACTTAGATCAGAGGACACACGATTAATATCTACCAGATGAGAGAGGTTTTGTCCCGTTGGTCTGCAAAGCAGGCTCACCTACTTCTCAGGTGACTTAATCTAGGGCTCGATAGAACATTCCAGTCAGAATATCACATTCATACACTGAGAATATTTTATGTCCTTGTGCTGTGACTGGACACTGATTTGGTCTTGTGTGAAGTGTGATTTGTTCAATGTGAGCTGCTCTTCTGAATTTGTTTACAGAAGATCGACAAGATCGTGAAATACAGAAATACAGAGAAAGCAAAAATAACGTTCTTATGAGGCAAGCGGCCTACTACCTGCGCTGCCGGCTAAAGACCAAAGGTAAGTAAGTTCTATAGGTTCACCATCATCATGAAAGTGCTGAACGATCTTCTGTCTTTTCTGTGAGAAACTGAACCCTCTCTTCTTCAGAATTTATTGAATTTTTCCCATACTTCTAGGCAAATATAAATGGGTAGCTTAGCATTTTGTTAAAAATGGATCTGTTGGTCCAGTCTCCTCTGTAAATTTCTCTAACCGTTTACTGACCATCACATATGATGAGATAAATCAGTATTGCTGCAATGTTGTCCCGCAGACAAGTAGCCTCTAGTCTGTTGTTCTAAATGTCTGAGGCTGCTGAACTTCCATTCGGTTCCGGTTTCTGCTGAGGCCCAGTAGGCAAAGCAGTGTTCTGGGGACACTGGGGTAAACACGGTGATAACACACAGTACCCACTGTGGGGAACTTAAAGAGGACTCTGCTCCTTTCACAACCTGTGGTATCGGTAAGTGGCACCATCAAGAGCAGGGAGTACCCTTGTATTCGTGACTCAGCCTGTTAGTTAGCTGGGATCCCCAGTGGACACCATCACCCTTGGCTAGTTTTTGTATTTTTAGTAAGAGGTGGGTTTTCATTATGTTGGCCAGGCTGGTCTTGACTTCCTGAGGTCAAGTGATCTTTCTTCCTGGGCCTCCTAAATTGCTCCAGTTCCAGGCATGAGACACTGTGCTGGCTCCACAGATTCTTTTTTATGTAAAGCTTGTTAGAATTCATCAGTCGGTCCATTCTCTATAAATTTCTCTAACCATTTGTTGGCCATCATATATGACGAGATAAATGAGTATTATTGCAATGCTTCTGGAAAGTAGTTAGGGCAATTTTTGAAGATTTTAGGGACAAAGTTTTAATTGTTTGTGCTTACTTAGGTGAGAGGATAAGTGATTAAGATCTAGCAGATAAGGGAGATTTTGTTCCATGGATCTGAAAAGCAGGCTCATTGACTTCTAGGGTGACCTAATCTAGGGACCAGTAGAACATTCCCTTCAGAATATCACATTCTGAAACGGAGAATATTTTTCATCCTTGTTCTATGACTAGACACTGATTTGGTCTTGTGTGAAGTGCGATTTGCTTAATGTGACCTGCTCTTCTGAATTTGTTTACAGAAGATCGGAGACGTCACGAGGAAGAACAGAAATACAGAGACAGCAAAAATAAACTTCTTATGAGTCAAGACTACCCGGGCTGCAGGTTGAAGACGGAAAGTATGTTTCATAGGTTCACCGTCACCAAAGTGCTGAACAATGTTCTGTGTTTCTTGTGAGAAACAAAAGGCTGTCTTCATCACAATTAATTTCATTTTTACCATACATCTAGGAAAATATAAATGGGTATTTTAACATTTTGTTAAAGGTGGACGAGAGAGGCCAAAGTTATGTAGCAACTTTTGCACATCTGCAGTAAGGCGGGTGTGGGACTGAGGGTAGTCTCAGCTGTTGATTTCTGACACAGGCACAGAACCACCTGTTTTTCTCAGGAAGAGGCTAAATCGTGTTCACAGGAATCCTCTCTGTACCACCTAAGGTCCCGCAGACAAGTAGCATCTAGTCTGTTGTTCTAAATGTCTGAGGCTGCTGAACTTCATTTGGTTCCGGTTTCTGCTGAGGCTCAGTAGGGAAAGCTCTGTTCTGGGGAACATGAGATGGTAGCACACTATTCTTCCTACAGGGAGCTTAAAGAGGACTCTGCTTCTTACATACCCTGTGGTATCTGTAAGTGGCATCATCAAGAGCAAAGATTACTCTGGTCAGAGGGATGTCCTGCTTTTTTTGCAGAGGCTCTCGTTGGTAAAGAGGAAGAACGACGGCACCCATGACTTTTTGAAGGCAGCAGTACATAGAGGAGGGACCCTGGGCCAGTCTCCTGAGCTCCATCCAAGTTGCTTCTTTTGTTTGTTACTCAGTTTTGTCACCTGTTCGTAGGATACTATAATAATGCCTACCTCTGTCAATTGCTGCACTGAATTAGATGGCCTATTTATTGTAACTCTCCCGGGACAGTTGTTGGCACAGAGTAAACTGTCTATTAGTGTCTTTTTTTTTGAAATGGAGTTTCGCTGTTGTTTCCCAGACTGGAGTGCAATGGCATGATCTCGGCTCACCGCAACCTCCGCCTTCTTCAAGAGCAGGGAGTACCCTTGTATTCGTGACTCAGCCTGTTAGTTAGCTGTGATCCCCAGTTGGCACCATCACACTTGGCTAGTTTTTGTATTTTTAGTAGAGGTGGGTTTTCACCATGTTGGCCAGGCTGGTCTTGACTTCCTGAGGTCAAGTGACCTCCCTTCCTGGGCCTCCTAAATTGCTCCAATTCCAGGCATGAGTCACTGTGCTCAAGCAATTCTCCTGCCTCAGACTCCCGAGTAGCTGGCACTACAGGCGCACAGCACCATGCCCAGCTAATTTTTGTATTTTTAGTAGAGATGGGGTTTCACCTCATTGACCAGGATGGTCTCGATCTCTTGACTTCGTGATCCACCCGCCTCGGCCTCCCGAAGTGCAGGAATTATAGGCGTGAGCCACTATGCCCGGCCAATACTGTTAGTTCTTCATTCTACTGTGTCTAGCATAAGGGAAACTTTATTAGTCTTTGTGCATATTTCTTTTATGGCCTTATGAGAGGCTGCAGACCTCCATAATTCCGCAATGACGGTTTTATCAGTGGTGTTTTCTTCCACGAAACATATGTGCCCATGACATGACTAGGACTTTCTGAATGAGAACACAGATGGGAAACCCATGGAGTTGGAGGTCACCATATTGCAAATGTCCCTCCTTCCATGATGGATTGTGGTCTTTGGAACAGGAGGCAGCATCTGTCCAGTTGTAAAGGACAGGAAGGAAGATGTGGCAGGAGGGCAGTTATTGGAGTGGAAAGAGCTCTGGACTAAGAATGAAGGTCCCAGGCTGTATCTTCAGCAGTGTTCTTAGGAACTGTCAGGGAGCAATTGATTTCTTCTTTCTGACTTTCTCTGTCTCCATCTGCAAAGGCAGGTAAATTTCTCTCTCTCCTTCTGCAAAGGCAGACATCTTGCAGTGTCCGAAGCATTCAAATGTGTGAGCACTTATGACCGCATATCACAATAAGATAAAGCCCCTTGCTGTGTGGTATTGGAAAAAGCTCTTGATGTATGGAAAAAGCACTTGATGTATGGGCATTTGGTGGTAGGAAGTGGTTAAGATTGGAGCATTCCCCATGGAGAGAATGTCCCTGAATAACATAGCAGAAGCCACTTGGCAGGCCTGTGAAGTCACCTGATGTGCAGAGGATTGTGGGACAAGTTTGTTTATCCTCTGCTAAAAGAAAGAAATAGGTTGTAAATATGAGCTGTGACGGGATGTCAAGCCTGTCCCTGGGAATCAGATCTGTGTCCGGATGGCGGAGACAGCTGCCAAAGTCCAGAGAGAGGCTGCACAAGCCTCCAGTGATGTGGGAGCAGAAGGTCTTTTCAACATTTAGCCTCATCTTGACGGTGAGCCTCCTGATCTGAAATGCATTTCCTGGTGGATCAGGAAACCATGCCAGGGCATTTTGTTAAAGAGAAAACATGAGAGCCGGTAGAACAGGGACCCATACAAAGATGTTCATGTCCCTGCGCACATTGGGCTGACTGTCCCTGCAGAGTGTGAAATGGGAAATATCTGAACGAACACATCTGTACTTGCAGAAAACAACAAAGACGAGGATGAAGATGTTCATGTCGTGGAGGCAGAGAAAATCCAGGAATCACGTGCCCCCAGGTAACGCTGAAGAAGCAGGAGTAAGTAATGGGTGGTAAAGTATGGAAAAGGTCTAGAAGCACATTCTCTCTGGTGTCTCCCATGGGCCAAAAGCCTGCATTCCCTTGTCCACAATATGTTCAATTCAACCCAACTTAGACACAGGGTGTGGCAGCTGTTGTGGTTCTTTGTATGTGCTGGGTGCCGTGTCTGAATTATACAGGGATAACTGAGTCTTTTTTCTTCTCGGCTCCTTTCTGCCCAGTGTAAGGAATACCAGCTGCTGTCTTTCTCTCCGGTTCCCATGGCAGCCATGCTGTGTTGCAGAGAGGACAATGTTGTGGGTGATTTGTGGCATGTGTGTAGATTTCAATTTCTGACTCCTCCCAAGATGGGAACCTGCAATCAGATGAGCCAGGTGAACTCAGCAAACAGGGATTTCCTGGTTTCACCTGTTCTTCCCACTGTGTTTAAACCCAGGGAGAGACACATATCTGCTTTCTGCCCATTTGTTGTGAGTGTGTTTGCTAGGATTTGTGAAGAGAAGAAATTCACAACATAGACATATTATATCAAAATACTGGAAAAAGGAGGCCCTTAATACACCAGATCTGGGTGTCTGAAGTGCCTCAAGAGCTCTGTCCACTTGAATGCCGCATGTAAAATTCAACACAACTTATGCGAGGCTGTTGAAGCCCCATGTTAGTTCTCATGCTGCAAGTCGTGATGAGAGTTTACAGGGAGAGTCTGGGTGGCCTGTAGTGGCTCATCTGTGGCACATGCACTGAGCACATGCTGCTCATTTGTGCTCTGTCCCCAGGGCAGTCACCCTCCACCCTGCATTTAGAAGTGATAGTTTTTTTTTCTCTTGAAGGAAAAATGCCTTTGCTTTCTGTGACCACTCCATTCTGACTTCCATCAGATCAGCTGGGAAACTTTGTTGTCTAATCCGTGTTGGTTTAATCTTCTGTCATCCCTGTCCTGCCTGGCTCATCAGGAATCTGCAGGAGTCTGTGGAAGAGGAAGCCCCCCAGGAGTCCTGGGATGAAGATTATTCGACTCTCTCAATTCCTCCTGGCACATTTGCCTTCAGTGAGCCTTACAGGACCAACCTGCACTCATTAGAGGAACAGCAGGTCAACTTGGGTCATGACATAGACAGTGAGTACTCTGTTGTGAAAGTGGTAAAGCTCCACTTTGTGTCCCAGATAGACCCCATAGTCTTTGTGCATTGCTCCCCTGGCTGCTCTGAGAGTTGTCATCACTGTGAGCTGAACCTATCCATCAGTGCAGATTTCAATCACTCCGGATTTCAGTCTGAAGCACGGGCATGGGGTGGGTCAGTGAGCTTTGCTCTCTCTCTCTAGTCTCAGTCCATGCCCATGGCACCCTGGACCAACTGTCAGGACATTGAAACCCAAGGTGGGTGTTGGAAACTCACACCAAGCTGTGCAGCACATGCCCATGAGTTGTCTGTGAATCTGAATTAAATGTCTTGCCAGCTACCAACTTCCTCATGAATTTTGTTCCCCAAGCATGTCTGTGAGGTTCTTTCCTGTTTGTACAAACTTGGCATAACTGTTTGTACAAACATGGGATAAAGGGATAATGGTCTACCAGAATAGGGACGTTTCACCATTGGTTCTGAGACACAAACCAAGGAATCTCTATTATGATTGGCCTTGAGACCTCCTGAAGTCTCTCTCTCACATTATCCTGTTGTCAAGCTGAGGAGTCTGAGGTCCCCGTGCAGGGATTAGACGGTGGACTGTTACGGGTGTAGGGCAATGGCTAACTTTGTCTGTCCCTATCTGAATTTATTGCAGCGATTAAAAAGGTTGAAGAAGAGGAAGAAGACCAAGGCCCACTGTGCCCCAGGTAACTTTGAGCAACTGTGAACAGCTAATTTTGTGTTGACACCTGGAGACGCCAGGTCCAGGGAAAACAGAGTGGGCTGACAATATCGATACCATCTTTTCAATGAAGCCTGAAGTATTCCTCCAAACGTCGCTGTTGGTTTTCATTGCAGTAGATACTTAGGTTTTGGTTTCTTCCTCCCCTTCTCATTTAGTAACTGCTGTAGGTTGACCATACTTGTTTTTATGATCAGTGTACGCTGTGTGTCCTGAGGGTACTGACTCAGAGTGTCCTTTTACTCCCTCATCAGTGTGTCACCTGGACAGTTCACTGAGCTTACTTTCTCTCTCTCTCTCTCTCTCTCTCTCTCTCTCTCTCTCTCTCTCTCTCTCTCATTCTGTTTCTCTTTCATTCTTTTCTCCCCTACTCTTGTCCATTCCAGCATAAGGCAATAGTTTGTTATGTCATTAGTGGATATATGATTTTTCTTTATCAACCACTTTCTTGTCCTACCCATGAAATCGAGTTGGGGCTTTGCTGTGTCTTATTTTCCCTGACTTATTCTTTGGTTTTTCCTCCTTTATTAGGCTCAGCATGGAGCTGGTGGAAGCAGAAGAGCCTGAAGTCTTCTGGTACTCACTGGATGTATTGTATTCAACATACACCGCTTATCTTGAGTTTTATTACACATGCCAGGCTTACACATATGCCGTTTTCTTATATGCAGAAGAGCATGTTCGCTTGACTTTGGACATGGACAGTAGGTTTCTTACTCTGACAGTGATAGGACTCCATCTGGTCTCCCGGGTAGGGGTCATATTTCCACACTAAGACAACGTGTCACACAGGACTCTGCTGGTGCAGAGTATGAACAACGCCATGTTCTTGCTGAAAACGCTTAGCCTGAGTTTCATAGCATGAGGTAATCTACAGACAACTTCACAATGTAGAACAGTGAGTGGCACAACTTACCTGTCTCCTTCAGACAGCCCATGTCACCACAAATCACACAACTGAAAGGAGAGGAGACATTTTTGGTTGAAAAAGAGTAAAAAGATAATGTAGCTCATTTCTTTAGTTCTTTTGAACCCAAAGTGTCCTCACGTTTTTGTCGTTGTCGTTGATGGTGGTGACATGGGCTTGTTTGTAGAGGACAGTTCAGCTGTCTGGCTCAATGGTCTGTACTCTGAAGTTGTCTGAAAATGTCCTCATGCTTAAATTCAGCCTAAATGTTTTCCCAGGAACACTGCAGGGTCAATGCTACCTCACCCATCTGCAGGTAGAGAAGGTCCCGTGTGTCTACCACCATGATCGTGATACCAGGACTTTTCCACCATTTGTCTATCACCATGATCATGACGCCAGATCTGTACCTTTCAGAGACACCTTATTTATACGGATATATATATATTTATTCAGAGACACCTTATTTATGCAGACATATATATTCAGAGAACCTTATTTATACCGATATATATATATTTATATGGAAGTAATTGGAAAAATGGTTTTTAAAAGTATTAATATCCTGTATTGAAATGATCATCTCTCAACATTTTATTATTCACTAATCATCCCTGGCTGTGTCAATTATTACATTTACATCTCTACATTGGAAATTTTATATTATTACTGTATCTTTGCTTTTGCTAGTTTTTGTTGTTGAACCAAAAAATTCCCTGCCTGCATTTCAATTTTTGCCAAAGTTAATTTTAATCTATACAATGAAAAGTTTTTTCCTTAAGATAAGACTGTCAGCACCTAAGGCCACAGCAAAACAGAGCCTTTGTTTGCTAATTTTTAAGCCTTTGTTAATTTCTGGCTGAGGAGAGAGGTAGTTTATTTAATTAGCTGCTAATACCTGTTTAAGTGAGCAGCCAGAGAAATGTCTATCAGACTAAGGATATGCAAAGCTTACGCCATTCTCTTTGAGTCTTTTAAACTATTTCAGAAGAGAAGGGAATAGGCAAATTTCACATATAGGGACAGGAAGGAGAATACACTAAAAGATACAAACAACCGTTTCCCAAAACAGAATAGAAAATTCATTAAAATTTATGAAATATTTTCTTATGAAATGTAATCTCTCTAAACTTAGCCATTATATGAAAGTCAATTCTTTATATACCACACTACATTGACTGTTGACATTCCTTAGAATTCATTTCCATGTTTGTTATTTGAAAAAGCAAAAGGACTCTAATCCTTTCTTTTCTTTCCCATGATCTTTTTAAGATTGAGGATTTTTTTTCTAAATAAATCCAAAGATTTTAAAGACTGAAAATTGACATTAAAATTTATCTTCTCAAAGCAATGATGTGTAACTCAGGCTGTCTTATTCCTGTTTGTAGTATAACTGTCAAGTGCTCATTTAACCATTCTTTAAATGTTTCAAATTACTCGGAACAAACCACATTTCAGGGTGGTTTGTTTCTTTGGTTTTGTTTCCTCTTTTCTTTATTTTGAATTCTGGGATACATGTAGAGATCTTGCAGGATTGTTACACAGGTATACACATGCCATTTTTGTTTGCACCTCCACCCCTTCCCCTCCTGTCACCTACATTCGGTATTTCTCCTCCTATCCCTCCCCAATCTCCCCACCCCCTGCTATCTCTCCTGTAGCTCCCCCACCGCCTGACAGGCACCAGTGTTTGATGTTCTTCTCTGTGTATCCGTTGTGTTGGCATTTCAACACCCACTTATGAGTGAGAACATGGTGGTGTTTGCTTTTCTGTTCCTATGTCAGTGTGCTGAGAATGATGGTTCTCAGTTTCATCCATGTCCCTTTAAAGGACATGAACTCAAATGAACTCATCATTTTTTGATGGCTGCATAGTATTCCATGGTGTATATTTGCCACATTTTCTTTATCCAGTCTATCTTTGGTGGGCATTTGTTTTGGTTCCAAGTCTTTGCTATTGTAAGCAGTGCTGCAGCAAACATAGGTGTTCATGTGTCTTTGTAATACAATGTTTTATGATCGTTTGGGTGTGTACCCAATCATGGGATTGTGGGTCAAATGGTATTTATGTTTCTAGATCCTTGAGGTGTCGCCACACTGTCTTTCGCAATGTGCCTGATTATATCTTGCTCTAGGTTCAGAATGTTTTCTGTTATTATTTCTCTGAAGAAGCTTTCTACTCTGTGCTCCTTCTCAACCCCCTATTTAAGGCCAGTGAATCTTCGATTTTCTCTTTTGAAGCCCTCTTCTAGATCTCTTAAGCATTCTGTGTTCCTTCTCATTATTCTTTTCTTTTTTCTTCTCTGACTGTATTTGAAATAGCGTGTTTTAATGCTCACTAATTCTTCTGCTTAATCAATTCTCCTGAGACTCACTAAGGCATTTCCAGCTCCAGGATTTGTTTGCTATTTTCTATCACGTCAGTATTGTTAGATTTTTTTGATATAAGTTTGAATTGTTTCTGTTTTCTTGAAGTTCATTGAGCTTTCTCAAAATAGTTACTCTAAGTTTCCTGAGAAGTTACATGTCTCCATCGCCCCAGGGTTGGTCAGTGGCGGCTCATCTGGTCTATTTGCTGAGGTCATATTGACTTCAGTGTTCCTTATACTGTCGACATTTGTCAATATCTAGGCATTGAAGGATAAGGTATTTATCTAGGCATTGAAGGATAAGGTATTTATTCCAGCCTTTGCAGTCAGGTCTTGTTTGTACCTGTCCTTCATAGGGCCTTCCAGGAATTCAAAGTGGGCTAACCAGTTCCCTATGCCATGGTCACTACAGCCATTTTTGTACTGCAGGGTACCCTAGGCCCAGGTACACTGCAGTCCTTACAGATGCCCGGGTCCCCAGCCCTCTTGGACTTGGGAGAAGATCAGGGATTGTTCTCTGGGTCCCCAGGCAAAACCTCTAGCTTACTTTTCTCTATTTCCCTCAAGCAAAAGGAATCTCTCTGTAGGCTACACTGCCTGGAGGATGGGGAGGGGTGATGCATCATTCCCATAGTGGCTGCAGCTGCTGCTGTCATACTGGCTGTGACCTCAAGTCTGGCATCTTCCAGACCTAAGCAACATCAGAGTTTGCCCAAGGAGTGCTGTGGTCGCTGCAGCCTGCCTGCCCCTGACATTTATTTGAAGCCAAATTAATTTCCAGTGATAAAGCTAAGCAGAACTTTGGTTGGCTCTTCCTCCTGAGGCAGCTGATTCCCTTTGGCCCAGGGTGAGTCTAAATGCTTCTGTGGACATCAGCCTGGAATCAAGCGCTGTTGGGTTCTTTTAGGGTTGTGTTTCACTATGGGAAGACTGATGCTGAGTTTGAATATAAAGCCCCACACTTTTTTTTTGTCTTCAAAAGAACTTTTCCCAAAAAGCATTTTAAAAGTTTTGTCAATGTTGATGGAATGACATACTCTTTGACTCAAGGGTCTTAAATGGATTTTAAAATCAAAAATATTATCAAAAGGCAGACTCTAGGGCCCACACCAACTACATCTCCTTGGTTTAGAGACCAGTATGTAGCTCCTATAGTCTCCACCGCTGTTTCTAAGGTACACCAAGTTCAAGAACCATTCTTTCATATTTTCAGACTAGGGATTCTCACAAAATGAAAAAGAGGAAAAACCTTAATCTTTTAAAGTTAGAGTTCAAGCATTAGACTCTGCACTTCTTAAACACAGTTTATCTTTTTCATTTTCTCTTTCTAGTTCTGTATACTGTCAAGGCATTGGTGCAGAAATAAGAAAGCAGTGAAAAACTATTTATTTCTTTATATATGTTTTGCTATAATAATCACCAAGAAGACTTTCATTTTCTTTACCCTGTTCACCAATTATATTGGCCTTCAACACATGTCGATAGCAACGTATATAAATCTATATCATGCATTTATACACACAGACATGCTGTATCAGCACTGTGAAGACACGGACTGGGCTTTACTATCTCTGGGGGCCTCTCCCATGCCACTTAAAAGTGGGCACAGGTTTGCTCTCTGCAAGAATTTCAGCAGAACTGGTCTTGCTACCAGTCCCGTTTTCCCAAGGTAAGATAGGATGACAAAATGGGACTGTATTTTAAGTGAGGTCAGTCCAATTTGGTTATCATAGAAGAAAAGAAATAGGATTTGCTAGCTTAAGCCTGAGATGGTATCTGGGGAGTTACCACATTCCTGATGTGAACTCAAAGAAAACAGACGCTGCAGTGCAGACCAAAGCCCAGCCCGACTCGACCCAATAGGATCAGGTGTGGATCTGTGAGTAGCGCTCACTGAGTCCCCGCCTGTACTGTCCAGCAGGGCACTGCTGCTCAGTATTGTGCTTTTAGAACCTGCCAGAGGAGCTCCAGCATTGGGACCACATGCCTCATTCATCAGAATCGGGGTCCTCTATCCACTGAGTTTTCCATCTCAGGGCAGCTGATGAGGCGAGAAGTGTGCTGTTGCTACTTCCCACGCTGCTGGGGCTCTTGAGAAGCAGTATCACAAAACCATCAATGCAAATTACACATTCTTTGCTTCATGCTGGGCCTAGTGGGCCTTGGCTAAGTGTATTCCATAGCTGTCAGAAAGGCTTTCTGCCTTTCCACTCCACCAGGACATATCTCTGACTCCCTCTTCTGTACCCTCCAGTGGACTTGGAGGAACGAGGCTCAGATGCTCCTCGGCAGATAGGTGGCCACACAAAAGGGGGACAGGTGCACCCTTCCTGCTGTTTTAAGGACCTCTGGTGGCTACGCTTCTTGCATGGTTCCTGGAAGGCAAGGGTCACAAGACTGGAGTGCACGTCAGAGCCCTTAGGGATTTCACCTTCAGACAAAAAACAAAACAAACCAGCGTATATTGCCAAGCCCTGCTGATGCTACCTGAAGCTGGAGTGAGAGCGATGTGGTGACTAAAGCCAGGAGTATGGTGAGAGCCAGGTAAGAGGATGAGCTAAGAGCATGCGCTGCAGTCTGGAGGAACAGCAGGTGCCCCAGGTTGTGGGGAGCCTCCCCACCTCCCCGTGTGCTGAGATAACCTGCTCCAATTCACTGCACTCTGGCTGGCTGGATCCTACCATTCACTCTTCAGGGACCAGGTGACTCTCCAGATCACTTTGTCTCTGCAGAAAAATGGCCTCTGCCATCTTCCCCCAGAAAGAAGTGCTCAGCAGGAAGCATGCATATACAGAAACAGCCTGTTGTAGGAAGAAGACATTTTGCAGGGAAGTCCTCTGTTAAGTTGATGTCCAGTTGACATAACAAGGACGTTAAGGGGCCAAGTCTATATGGACCTCAGAGCTCAACTAAGTCTAGTTCCACCTTTAACAGATGAGGGTGCAGCAGACTCACAGAGACTAAGGGACAAGCCAAACCAGTTAGTGACAAGCCAGGTATTAGAACTGAGGCCTCGGGTCCTTTCCAGTGATCTATGGGAGGCCGAGGGGAAAGTTTTCACACTGGAAAAAGCCAGTGGATACTAGAGATTTTGAGCTTACTTTTTTTTGGACAGGAATAAGGAATTTCAGAGGCAGTCCTGTAAGTGTTGTTCTAAAGTGGCTCAGGAAAGTAAAGGAATCATTAGAGAAAAACAAAAGGGAATTATTGGAAAAAAAAAAAAAAAACAAGTTAAATCATGGCCCAAGTCATTTTCACACTAGGTAGATCGACATTCTCTCAGGTTATAATTTAGAAACATTTCTAGAACATGCTCCATTGCTTATGGCAGAACTTTGAAATTTTCATTTTAGTTTATATAGGAAGCACCAGCAAGTGAATGAAGTGAGAGTGAATGAATTGGTAAATGTATGAACTGCGGAGGGGGCTGAGGGACTTTGACAGGGCTTTGATTTGGCCAGGCCTGGCCCCAAATATGGAGAAAGTGAAGGGTCCTTTTTTTGTCCTGCACCCCAGGAAAAGCTGAGGAGCTGCCCTTTTCAGCAGCGCAGTGCCCTGGATTGGAAGAAACTGGGGAGGGGGAGCTTTGGCTCTGGATTAGAGAGTCCTGGATTTCCTCCCATCATGAGGGGACATGGAGAATGGGCAGCTGAGCCCAGGTCTGGGGGAACGGGGCGGCTGCACTGCTACCCTGCTCAGAAGTTGCTCTGATGCTCAGGGGGTGCACTTGGAGGTGACTGCTTCCAGAAGAGGAGGCTTCTGCCTCCCTGCCACCACCTTGCCTGGGACAGCACTTGAATAGGAATCAATTTGCATTATTCCTGCTGTCACCAGCCTCAAAGACTAAGCAGCTTATTTCTCCCTCTGCAGACCTACTTTCAAAGCATTCCCAGCCTTCACCTCCTCCAGCTGGTTCTGCAGTCCTGGAGTAATGAGGGGCTCAGAACACCCTTGGCTCAGGTTGGGTCAAGAGACTGACTTTCTGAATGTTGCCCTCTCCCTGCCTGCCCCACCCTCATCCCATTCTGCAGGACCCTCTTGTCCTGGGGTGTCTCTGGCTTCTGGCTGTGGCATGGATTAGAACTTGCTGAAAGCAGATGGAGGCTGCTGCCTCAGGCAGGACCCAGGGAATCTACAACCCTTTTGACCTTCTCAACGGGCTTCCCAGCCCTAAATTACCGCTTCCTCTCTCCTGTGTCCTGGCCATGTAGGGACTCCGAATGAAAGAACTGGGAGGTCTCTGAAAGCTTGAGGCCAGCTCTCCCATTTCACCGAAGGGCAAACTGAGGCCCAGGAGAAGGAAAGACTTGCCCAAGTTCAAATAGGAGACAGAGCCCCATTATCATAGAAGAACTGGTGCGTGGAGAGGTGCATGCCCATGAGACTTTGTATAGCACTCCACCACTGAGCAGGGTGGGGGTGTGAGGGAAGGGATTTGGGATTTTTGAGCTCAGGTCGCTTCGCTGGATCTTTCCTGGTCTCTGTGGTTGGGAGCCACGGTTCTTAGTTCCTGCGGCCCTGAGCCTCCCAAGCATTTTATGAGAAAGGCAGCATTCAGGTTGGGGCAGTGCTTGAGGGTTTCCTCTCCATCCCCAGTCCTCTGCTTTGTCAGCTGAGTAGCAACCCTCAACCCCTGTCTCTGTAGGCAGCTACATCGTGGGGGGAGTGGTGAGGCTGAGGCCAGTTTCAGACTCCCTGACACCAGAGGATGACCTCTGTGCTGGCCCCAGGGGCTGAGGGGTACTGAGCCCACCTCCTGGACAGACACCTTCTCCCCACTATCCATGCCTGAGTTCTCACTTGGCAAGGAAGCCAAGAAGCCTTCCCTGGAGCCACTGACCTGTGTGAGCACCAAGGTTAGATTCCATTTTGGGACCCGTGATGGGGAACTGGGTCAGTCCAGTTCCACCCTTCTCCCTTTTCTGGAACCCATAGTCCAGCCAGCTTTGTAACTAAGCTGTGAACAGAAGGGCAGATGCTGTGTGTGTGTGTGTGTTTGTATGTGTGTAAATGCACTTGCATGCATGCATACACACCCAAGTGGGGGTTGGGAGGACTGACTTTAGGACCCTGAGATATTGAAATACCTAAGACTCAAATAAAATATACCACAGTGAGAAGGATACTCAGCTTATCAGAAATTAGGTTTAGGTAAGTCCCTGCCCTTCCATAGTCTCAGTTTTCATGTCTGCAAGTTGGAAATAATTCCTAGGAGGAGAAACCTACGCAAAAATAATCCACAAGCTGGAAGTTGCTGCATGGATGCAACACGTTGCGGTCCCACTGCTCCCCGCCCCCGCGGGAGGACTGAGGATGGGAAGAGAAAGGGCTCTGGCTCAGGAACACAAGGGCAGCCTCCACCGTTTCCTCACTGCGCGCCTTTCCTCTGCTGCTGGCCTCCTTAGCCCTTCACAGGCTCAGGCAGCAGGGGATGGGAGAGCCCCAAGTTCTCAGAAGGAGAGAGATTTGCCCTAAGTTTCTCTCCTTCCCAGGCAGTGAGGCTGAGGATACAGCCCTCTCCCAGAGCTCCATCTGAAGTCCCTCATGGTGGCCCCCCCAGCAGGATTGAGCACATTTAGCTTCCCATGTATTCTCCAGCTTCTCTTTGTGTGGTACGGGGCAAGGAAAATTTTTGCAACATCCCTGGGCCCACAGATTGTGGTCTGGGCATGCTGAGGCTGCGGGAGGGATTGCAGTCTTAGAAGCCTCCCCCTGAGCTAGGAACTGGCCAGTGACCACCTGCTGTGTGTCCAGCAAAACTGATGGCACCTAGCACATGGCTATTCATCTGTTCTTGCCACTTGGCCTGCCCCTGTGTGTGTCCCATCCAAAGACAGCAGGACCCCTGCAGGCTGCCCCCACCAGTGATTCTGTAGAGAGATGAAGGGGAGCCTCTCCCAGCATCCAGCTCCGTTTGCTCTGCCTCCCTCAACTGGGTGGTGACTGAGAATCGAAGGCAGAGGATTTAGAGAGCGTCTCTTCATGCTCTCCAGCTAGCGGATGAAGAAACTACCTATCCAGAGATGTGAAGGGACATGTTCTAGGTCACACAGCAGGCGTGTGTCCAGGCAGGTTCCAACCTAAAGTCCCTGGGCCACTTGTGCTCCCCCAGGCACAGATCGCCTGCTTCCTCCACCTCCCTTGACCCCAAGCTTGAACTTGCAGCAAGATCCCAAGATGACATGCTGGGGGAATTGTTCTACAGATTTGTTAATCACATCTCAGAATGAATAGGGCCCTAAGCTCATCAGCCAGGAAGAAATCCAATTTGGCTTTTATGGCCATACTTACTTGTCATATATCATTGAAATTTTGTTATTTTCTATGAAGCTGGTGGTGGAGGGGCTGGGGTGCCGGACTGGCTGCTGAGCCCAGAGGTTCTTCTGCACTTGGCAGCTGTGGTCTCCAGCCTCACACACCCAGGACTTGGGACGGAGGGTGGAAGCCATGCGGTGGGAGTGTTGGCCAAGGCCTGCAGTGAGGGTTTCCAGGAACCTCCTGATCCTTCAGGCCAGGGCATCTGGGAGTCTGGTCAGAGTTCACAGGTTCAATAAGTGTTGCTGCTTTTATTAAGCTTTCATTGTTTTCTTCCCAGTGATGCATGCCAAGGCTGCTTTGTGGGCTTCAGGATCCAGAGCTGATGGGTTTTGATGGCGAGGCCTGAGTTGTGCAGGGAGGTGCAGCAGGTGGGGAGAAGGGGCCAGAGAGGGTCATTCGGTGGAATTACTTTTGGCAGCAGGGCACTGTGGCTTAAAGGATGGGCTGTGATGTTGCCTCCAGAGGCTCCAATCCAACCCAGCTCTGCAAGCAGCCTTGTAGTGCAAGGGTTGGATCAGACATGATATAAATAAAGCACCACCCGTGTGCCAGACACACTGTAGTGCTCAGTGAATGGTCAACTCCCCATCCAGTCCCCTTGTAAGTGGCCTGGCGGATAGTAAGCCCTTGGACTTCTATTTCCTTCTACTGTCTGGCTCTACCAAGAAGAGTTGTTGGGCTGATCTGGGTTTGGTGTGTGTGTCCCCATCTGGCTGCCCCAAATGCCATAATTTCTTTTCTTTCCATGGCTGCAGGAAAAGACACTCTGAGTGAGCCTTGGCTAGCGATCCAACAGCCTGAGTTCCTTCTTTCAACCCCCAGGGGCACATGTGAGCCATGGGGAGTGGGGGCAGGGAGGCCAAAAGGCAGATCAGGTATGGAGGGAGCCACTGGGAACAGGAGAAAATGACCAGGGCGGGCAGCAAGGGCTTTCCAAGAATGCTCCTGGACCACCTGTATCAGAATCACCTGGGGAGGTGTTTAAATACAGATTCCAGGTTGGGCACGTTGGCTGACACCTGCATTCCCAACACTTTGTAAGATCGGGGCAGAAAGATTGCTTGAGCTTGTGGTCAGCCTAGGCAACCTAGCAAAATTCATTTCTACAGAAAAGATTTTATAAAATCCAGCTAGGTGTGGTGGCATGCGCCTGTAGTGTCAGCTACTTGGGAGGCTGAGGTGGGAGGACCACTTGAGCCTGGGACATCGAGGCTGCACTAAGCTGTGATAGTGTCACTGGATTCCAGCCTGGGAAACAGTGAGGCCTCGTCTCAAAACAGACCAAAGGAAACAAAGCCCAGCTTCCTGGGCCCCACCTCCTCAGAATCTGACCTGGTATCACCCTAGAATCTGCACTTTAACAAGTAGGCCGAGTCACTCTGATTCACATTGAAGTCTGAGGATCTTTGCAGCAGAGAATAAAGGAGTCTGCTCCAGTTGACTTGTGGACCTGCCTACAGCAGGGCCAGACCTTATGATGAACTGAGAAGTTCATAATAAACACACCAGCTGCTGTGGTTCAGCAGGGGAGCAGTGTCCCCATCCCAATGACATATTTTCCTCTTGGTGTTAGGGGGTCCAGATCTGTCCCACTGAACCCACCAAAGCGGGGACACAGAACAGGAAAAGTGATAGTGGCTGTTGTACCCATCAATGCTGGATCCCTCTTGTGTTGGCTGGGACGTTTCATTGGTTGACAAGTGGAAAGCTTGCTTGCCTGATAAATATTGAGCCATTGGGTTTACGAGTCAGCACCCACAATTTCCTCACCAGCTGTCTGTCAGCCCAGGGAGGCCAGTCATGTTTCATCCACTCCATCTGTGCAGCCTGGTCTTCTCTGAGGAATGGGGGGCTGGCACAAGCTCGCCACAGAGTCCCACTTGACTCCACTCCCCACCCCAACCTGGGCTCCTAATAAGCCCAGGTTTTCTTTGCAGAGAAGAATGGTCATTTGTGCCCCTCTGAATTTCCTGCTGGCAAATTGAGCAAAGATGTGTTTCTTAGGGGGCTGCAGGGGTGATGGGGAGTGGGGGCTGCAGGGGTGATGGGGAGTGGTGGCTGCAGGGATGATGGGGAGTGGGGGCTGTAGAGGTGATGGGGAGTGGGGGCTGCAGGGGTGATGGGGAATGGGGGCTGCAGGGGTGATGGGGAGTGGGGGCTGCAGGGGTGATGAGTGGGGGTAGGCGCCTACTTCAGCTGCAGCCACAAAGCCAGGCTTCCCCGGGGCTGGTGTAGGGGACACAGTGTGATAGATTTCGGGTCTTCTTGCTGGGGAAACAGCTCAGACAAGTGTGGAAAGTCACCCAGCCACACCTCTTCCTCTATGGATCCAGAACACATTACCGGGCTCTGTTGCCATTATTTGAGATTTTAGGTAGGACTTGGAACTTCTTCAGAAAAGACTCTGGGAGGACCCTAGGATCCAGCTGCTAGGATGGGGCTCCCTGCTTCACTCCTACGTTCTCTCTGGGATGATCCATGTCCCCACTGTATTAGGCTTCTCCAGAGAAAAAGAACCAACAGGAGATTTATAGATGCCAGAAAAAGTTTTATTAGAAGAAATTGATTTATGTGATGATGGAGGCTGAGAAGCCCCAAGATCTGCAGGCAGCAAGCTGGAGACCCAGGAGAGCTGATAGTATAGCTGCTGCTGGAGACTGAAGGCCTGAGGACCAGGAGGGATGATGGTGGAAGTTCTAGTTTGAAAGTTGGCAGGCTGAAGACACAAGAAGAAGAAGTATTTCAGCTCGAGTCCGAAGGCCAGAAAAGACCAATGTCGGCTGGGAACGGTGGCTCCCACCTGTAATCCCAGCACTTTGGGAGGCCTATGTGGGTGGTTCATGAGGTCGGCAGTTCGAGACCAGTCTGACCAACATGGTGAAATCCTGTTACTAAAAATACAAAAAATTAGCTGAGCATGGTGGCATGCGCCTATAGTTCCAGCTGCTCGGGAGGCTGAGGCAGGAGAGTTGCTTAAACCTGGGAGGCAGAGGTTGAAGTGAGCCGAGATTGTGCCACCACACTCCAGTCTCGGCAACAGAGGAAGACTCCATCTCAAAATAACCCCAAACTCATCTGGAAACTCTCTCTCTCTAATAAATAGCTTTTCTGAGAAAAAAAAAGTCACAAAATCAACTGGTCCTATTATACCTTTCCTCTGCCTTGATTTTCCTAGTACAAAGAAAACTTTTTTTTTTTTGAGATGGAGTTTTGCTGTTGTTACCCAGACTAAAGTGCAATGGTACGATCTCAGCTCACCACAACCTCAGCCTTCTAAGTTCAAGCAATTCTCCTGCCTCAGCCTCTCGAGTAGCTGGGACTACCGGTGTGCACCACCATGCCCAGCTAATTTTTGTATTTTTAGTAGAGACGGTGTTTCACCTTGTTGACCAGGATGGTCTCGATCTCTTGACCTCGTGATTCACTCTTTTTGGCCTCCCAAAATGCTGGGATTACAGGCATGAGCCACTGTGCCCGGCCCAAAGAAAACATTTTTAAAGCCCAACAATAAATTAGAAAAAAAGTGAACAGTAAAAAATAAAAAAATGAAAAAGAGTAAAAGGCACCAAAAGAGAAGGAGAAATGAAGAAAAGAAATGACGAGAATATAAAATGATCCAGAGAGGTATTATATATATGACCAAAAATCAAGAGGCAGAAGAAAATATATTCGTCATGATGGCTATCGGTGGTCTCAGGGTGATATCAGCCATCCCAATTGATATATTTTCTTCAACGATATCAAATAAGTATCAGTGCCCTTTATAGCCCGACTTTTTTTTTGAGATGGAGTGTGTCTGTCGCCTGGCTGGAGCGCAGTGGCGCGATCTTCTCTCACTCCAACCTCCGCCTCCTGGGTTCAAGTGATTCTCCTGCCTCAGCCTTCCGAGTAGCTTGGACTACAGGCGCACACTACCATGCCCTGTGAATTTTTGTATTTTCAGTAGAGACAGGGTGTAGCCTTACTTTTATAATAGAACAGCCTTTAACAGGACATGGATCACAAAAGGAAGGGAACCTATATTGAGTGCTGACTATATGCAAGGCATTGTTTTAGACAGCAAAGCTGTCTTCTCATTTAATCTCTGCAATCGCTGTGTGAAAAAGGCACTATTCCTGACTTAAGATGTTGACACCGAGGCTCAGAGCAATTTATTAAACAAATGACAATGTGGGTGGCCCCAGTCGTTGTCCCTGTTTTTTATCCCCTGTTCAGTATCATAATCATCTACACTTGATGAAGAAGAAAAGGCATAAAAAGAATACAATAGTAAAAGAAATAAAAATTTCAACAAAGAATAAAAGGAAAAAATAGCCATTCTCTTACCTCTCTGGATAAGCATGGAACTTCACCAGACTGCTAGAGAGCTGTCTCTTTGCGTCTAAGTCCTCACTGAGCTGACTCTGTTCATCTACTAATCTTTTTCTAGCATCAGCAGCAACTGAGAAAAGAGGAAGCAGCAGCAATACACAAATGGCAAAGTGAGACATGAAGCCACAGTTAATCCTGAGAAACAAGAAAATGCATTAGGATGTACTATGACTTAAAAAGCCCGCTATCTTAGTACTTAAGCTTTTGATAGTATTTATAGTTTTCCCAAGAAGCCAGAAAATGTATTAGCATGTACTCTGACTTAAAAAGTCTGCTATCTTAGTACTCAAGTTTTTCATAGTATTGTATAGTTTTCAAATCAATGTCATATTATTTTTTTAATCTTTAAAACCCTGTGAGGTAGAATTCAAATATGGGAGCAAAAAGAAGAAAAAGGAGAGAGAAGCTAGAAGCACAGGAAAGCAGCTAAGAGAAAGGAGTAAAGGAAATGGGACAGGCAAGAGGGAAGCATATATAATAGGAGTTACCAGTATTCTTCATTCATTCAATCAATATTTATTGAGCACCTTCTATGGGAAAGACTCCATTCCAGGTTCTAAGGGAAAGCCTCCTAACTAGTGGAGGAAAAAGACATTCATTAGTCATAGACGTGTGCCATTATGAGTGTAAATAGCATCATAAAGATATTGAGCTGTGATCATGTATAACCAACAGAGAGCTGTTTTAGGTAGAGTTGAAAGCCAGAATGCAGTGGGGTGAGTAGTCAGTGAGAGAGATGCTAATGGAGACAGGGCGTACAGGCAAGTAAATCTGTTGAAAAAGAAAGATTAAACGGATAGTAGCTACCAAGAAAGTTGGGGCAAAGGCAGGGGTTTCTCTTTTTTTAAACTGGGAGAGATGTGAACATGGTTAAATGCAGAAAAAGGAGAAAGATTCAGTTGAGAGAGAGACGACTTATGTATGAGTGTGAGGGGTAACTATTGTTATGTTTCCAGAAGAATTGCTGCTCTTTACAGAACCACACATCAGAAAAAGGCATCTATAGCTGCTACCGACCAAAGTAGGAAACTTCAGAGCACAGTTTCTCCATGAAACACCATTTATGAAAAACCACTACCAAGGTTTAATTCACAGTAGAAAAACACGGTTTGTGCTGGGTGTGGTGGTATGCATCTGCAGCTCCAGCTACTTCCGAGGCTGAGGTAGGAAGATGCCTCGAGCCCCAGATTTTGAGGCTGCAGCGAGCCATGGTGGTACCACTGCACTTGAGCTTGGGTGACACAGTGAGACTCCATATATATATATATTTATATGGGGGGAAGGGGAAGGGAGGGGGGAAGGGAGGGGGGAGGGAAGGGAAAAGAGGGGTGGGGAGGGAGTAGGAAAAGGGGAAAAGAAGGGAAGGGGGAGGGAAGGTGGAGAGGGGAGGGGAGGAAGAGGAGGGGGGCAGAGGGAAGGAGAAGAGGGAGAGGGAGGGGGGAGAGGGAGAGAGAAAGGGGACAGCAGGGGGAGAGAGCAGGGGAGGGAGGGAGGGAAGGAGAGAAAGTGTCTATATTCCAATGACTTACTTGTTGTCTTTGGTTTCCTGAAATTTCTTGACCCTGGGATTCTACTGAAGCAATTTTTTCCCAAAGAAGTAATGTTTCCTGGGTCAGGCGTTCCACAGGTGGTATGTCTTCAGGATTATCAGTTGTATTTGCAGGTCCTAGAAGTCAAAAAGTAACTGTAAACATGAAAATAGCAATAAAAGTATTCTTCAGTCGATGAGCACAGAAACAAATGTTCTTGAAACAGTCTGCCTATACTTTCAAGTGAGATATTGATAAGCACTGGGCAAGGGATTCAATGTATGCAAATAATGTCTGAAGATGCCCTACAAATAATCTGAGATGTGAACATTTCCAACGGTCTGTAAAAAGTTTGGAAGGTTATGAGGTCTTCTTTAATTTGTATTTTCCTGGTCAGAGGCTCCACATTAGCAGCCTACACATGCAGCTCTTCTTCCTGAACCTGCAGCTCTCCTTCAGCTCTCCTTCCCACACCTGCAGCTCTTCTTCCCACACCTGCAGCTCTCCTTCCCGCACCTGCACTCTCCTTCCCACACCTGCACTCTCCTTCCCGCAACTGCAGTTCTTTTTCTTGCACAACCATCATGGACTGTAGAGCACAAAGTTCCAACTGTGAATAGAGGAAACAATATCTCCCATGTTTATATTTTAACACGGAGGCAAATGCTTTTGCATATCATATCACTATCAGCAAGTAATGCAAGAGAAAACGAGACAAGAACATGGTTCTACAGGATCAAATAAAAAAATCCATGCAGTATACTAACAAACAATGTTTTATGGGAAGATGTAACAGTAGTTTTTAATGACATCTTCCACCATAACTGGCACCATAAAACACATCAAATTTGTTTAACAAGCTTATTATGATACTGAAAAAGAATGCTGACCATTAGCAGAAGCAAGAAGAGATAAAGTTTTTATGTAAGTACTTCAGCTAATAGATAAAAAATGATAGCATTCGGATATCTCCATTTTGAAACCCTTAATGAATTAATGGATTAGGCATCAAACCACAAAAGCTGCTAACATCACAAGAGATCACCAAACATTACCTGCCTCTAGATGGAAGAACATGCCACCACCTCTGAAGGAATCCTGCCAAAAGCTAGCGCTACATGCCCTAATCTTTCAGTGTTCTCAACAGGAAAGGACAAATACTTCGTTATGACAAAGTTCACTATGACTCATCATAGGCTGGGTGCCATGGGTCACGCCTGTAATCCAAGCACTTTGGAAAGACCAGGTGGGCGGATCACGAGGTCTGGAGTTCGAGACCAGCCTGACTCAAATGGTGAAACCCCATCTCTATTAAAGATACAAAGATTAGCGAGGCATGGTGGTGAATGGCAGTAATCCCAGCTACTCAGGAGGCTGAGGCAGGAGAATCGCTTGAACCTGGGAGGTGGAGGTTGCAGTGCGTGGGGATCACACCACTGCACTCTAGCCTGGGTGACAGAGCAAGACTTTGTCTCAAAAAAACAACAAAAAATATCATGATAATAACGATACCTGCTAACATGTACTATGCCATGGGCTCTCTAACAAATGCTTTGTACATAATTAATTCTTTTAACAAACCTAGTGCTCTGGTTCCTGCCTACTTTCCCCACTTGAATATCTGTGATTTTACTCCTCACTCATGACTCTGTGGGTACACTAGACTTTTTCTGTTCTAGGAACTCCAGACGTTCCCTTAACTCAAGCCCTTTACAACTACTACTCCCTTTGCCTGAAGTATCTTTCCCAGGGCTGTCTCTGATGATCAGATCCCAGCTTCTATGACATATACTCAGAGAAGCCTTCTTTAACCACCCTATTTAAGATGGTCTCCATCCATGTTACTTTCTATCATTTCCCTCATATCACTTACTATCATCTATAATCATATCTCTTTGTTTATTGTATCTCCCCAGTGGAAATTAACTACACAGAGCCAGAGACCTTGCTGATTTCATTCACTACCTCATCCCCTAGCCCAACTTGAGAGAAGGTTCCCATATAGCTAATGAATGAAGGAGTGAATCCTCACAACAATCCTATGAGATAACTCCTCTTTGATTTATACGTAAGGTGACTTCTACTCTTCAATTTACAGACAAGGTGATTGAGTCTGAGAGAAACTAAGGAACTTGTTCAAAAATCACAGGGCTAGTGGTAAATCTAGAATGTGAATTTGTGGAGGCTGACTCAAAGCCACTAGGCTATCATGTCTTCTCAGTAGATGCCGCATATCCATACAGTCTTTATGGTAACGGCAAGTAATTTTAAATTAACCCTCTAAAGCTAGTTAGCAATAGCTAAGTATCAGCCCCTCAAAATACCCATTCATAGGCATTAGAATTTCATGATCCTGAAAACAGGACAGAACCAAAAAGTAACATTACTCTGGATTTGGTATATACAGGGTGAGGAAAAAAAAGCAAGAACACGTGGAAACTAAAATATCTGACATGAATAACTGGAGAACAGCTAAGGTAGAACCACAGAAAAGAAAGGAGACTAGGGGATTTTAAGAACTGGTATTTCTTTTTTTCTTTTTTTGAGATGGAGTTTCACTCTTGTTTCCCCAGGTTGGGGTGCAATGGTGCAATCTCGGCTCACTGCAACCTCCACCTCCTAAGTTCAGGCAATTCTCTGCCTCTGCCTCCTGAGTAGCTGGAATTACAGGCACGCACCACTATGCCCAGCTAATTTTTTGTATTTTTAGTAGAGATGGGGTTTACACCATGTTGACCAGGATGGTCTCGATCTCTTGACCTCGTGATCCACCCGCCTCGGCCTCCCAAAGTGCTGGGATTACAGGCGTGAGCCACCGCCCCCGAAAAAAAACTGGTATTTCTTAAATGCCACACATTCTCATATCCTAAAAACTAATTGAGTCAAAAACATGAGTCTTTTTGTAAGCAGAAATATGGTAATAAAATCAAAAGATAAAATATATTAATTCCATCACTAATACAAACATGGGTTCCATATTACAGACCTACCTATGGCAAACGGTAGTAAAAAAAATGAAAGAAGCTATTTAGACTAGCTTGCTAAAGATAATTTAGGAAGCCATGACACCAACTGTCCTTCTAAAAGAGATGCCAGAGTAACAAACCACCTTTTAGTGTTAGTCTGTAACTGTGCTGTGTGCCTCATATTTCTTCAACATCACCGTTGAATATGCAACTAGCTGTGTATATATGTAGGAAATACATATTTCCTGTCTATATTTAATTTTTTTAATAAACCTAGTGCTCTGGTTCCTGCCTAACTTTTCCAACTTTGATATCAGCCATTTTACTCCTCACTCATGACTCTCATGACTCTGTAGGTACACCAGATTTTTTCCATTCTAGGAACAGAAAAAGAAAATATATATAGGAAAGGCAGAGGGGTGAGAATCTCTAAAATAATTGATGAAAAGTCTATGCTCAAGAAAGTTAAGGCATAAGGTGGGAAAAATGAATCAGGAAGTATGTGAAGCCACAGAAGACTGGAGTTTGAATCAAAGCTTTGGCATTTATTAGTTACATGACGATTCTCCACTCTCATTCTAAAGGAGAAATCAGTGTTTCAGCTTCTTCATCTATAATAATTGGGCCGACACTGTTTACTTCGTGTAGAGTTGTAAGCATTAGGGCTAATTTAAATACCTAGCAAATGCCGGGCGCCGTGGCTCACGCCTGTAATCCCAGCAGTTTGGGAGGCCAAGGCGGGCGGATCACGAGGTCAAGAGATCGAGACCATCCTGGCCATGGTGAAACCCCGTCTCTACTAAAAATGCAAAAATTAGCCGGGCGTGGTGGCACGCGCCTGTGGTCCCAGCTACTCGGGAGGCTGAGGCAGAAGAATCGCTTCAACCCAGGCGGAGGTTGCAGTGAGCCGAGACTGCGCCACTGCACTCCAGCCTGGCGACAGAGTAACACTCCTGTAATAAATACATAAATAAATACCTAGCACGGTGTATATGAATACTCATTAAACACTGACTATACTCAAGTTTCTTGTTTCATTTTTCTAAAACTAATTTCATGGGTCTAATACCATAACTCTAAGCAGCAATCACACAATACTTCCCTATTTACACTAGTGCTTTGCTATTATTATTTTTTTGGAGGCGGAGTTTTGCTCCTTTCCTAGGTTGGAGTCTGATGTCACAATCAGCTCACTGCAACCTCTGCCTACCGGGTTCAAGCGATTCTCCTGCCTCAGCTTCCCAAGTAGCTGGGATTATAGGCACCCGCCAACACACCTGGCTAATTTTTGTATTTTTAGTATAGACGGGATTTCGCCATGTTGGCCAGGCCGGTCTCCAACTCCTGACCTCAAGATCAGGAGTCGATAAGCCCGCCTCAGCCTCCCAAAGTGCTAGGATTACAGGTGTGAGACACCGTGCCTGGCCTTTACAGTTGTTTTATTCCAATTAGCAATGGGGAGTGAGAGCTGTGTTTTTCCAGCACTTAGTAAGTTTTAATAGCCCCAATATAAAGACAAAAACATTTTGCTACAATAACGTATATGAAAAATAACTTATATTTTTCCCCAAAAAGAAAAAAGTCATACCTGGCATTTGGACTCAGATATTCTACTTGGAGAACTATACGCTTTTAAATATAAACTATTTTGAAGGAAAAAACAATAGGGATTTGAAAATTAAGACTTGACTAGAAAACTCACCTGACTTTCTCTTTCTTTTTTAGCCGTGAGTTCAAGTTTCTCTTTGGCATTACTCAGTTCTTTTTCCAACCCTGCCATTGTGTTCAAGTCTCCTAAAATGAAAATAGAGTGCTAGTTTTATTTGCTATCAACATAATGTGATATCAGCTGCCTCCTCTGAGTCATTTACTGAGTACACATTCCAATAATAAGAAAAAAATAAAACATATACACAGGTTGCTCTTTGTAGCCTTATTTATAACAGCAAAATACCGCAATCATCCTGCATGCTATCAAGAAAACACTGAATGAAGTCGAATATATTCACAGATGGAACTACATACTGCTGTAAAAAAGGAATAAGAACCATCTTTATGAACTTATATGGAACGGTTTAGAAATCCTGAGAATATGTTTAAAAAAAACAAGCTACATGCTCAAGAATACATCTAAGGTAGTAAGTTTTACATTAGGAAAAGGGGAAATAAGAATATACATATATACATTACATATGCCTTCCCTGGGGTGACAGGGAAGGTGAATGCGGGGAGGGCCCTTTGTGCAGGGGAGCCAGAGCAGCCCAAACTGCACATTCTCACTCATTAAGCCGAAACAGTAAGGGCTGGGTTCTGCTGTGTCTGTACCAACACTGCACCTCAACAGAGCAATTAATTTCTTTAAAGTGCAGTTGTCTGAGTTTAGCCTGAGGGTGAACACAAGGCCAGGATGTCTGTTTGTGTGTTGGTGACAGAGTGATTCAGGAAAGAAAGCTGGAGGAGGCAAGATTAACACCTCTCTCCTGACGATTTCCCTTCAAATACTCATTCTCATGGGTTCCTCCTTACAACTCTATTCTGTGTACATACTGGCTTTCAGTCTGTGAGGAACCACTTTTCCCCAGAAAAGATAATTTTTCACTTCAAAAGCATGTTTGGGACGAAGTGCCCTCTATTATGCTTTATTCTTCAATACCATCCCACCTATTGTATTTTCAGTCTTCCAGAAATCCTCTCCCAAATTGCCTGCCTTCCTGATGTTTCAGAGGACATCACCTTCTTTTCTGCTTCTAATGACTCTCTATTCCCTTGCATATGTTTTAACAAGCACCACCATGGAATTTATAAGAGGGTTGAAGAAGATAATGTTTAGTCCTCTATCTAGAGCCAGAAGATACAAGGATCTCTTAGGAGCCAGTGCCACTTACTAGGAAAAGAAAAAAAACATTTATCTGATGTAGAAAAAATTTGAAAGTTTCACTTCAGATTTTTTTCAAGTAAAATTACATTTTAACATGGTTTAGCTGTGTCCCCACCCAAATCTCATTATGAATTCTAGTTTCCATAATCCCCATGTGTTGTGGGAGGGCCTGGTGAGTGGTAATTTAATCATGGGGGTAGTTATCCTCATCTGTTCTCATGATAGTGAGTGCCTTCTCATCATAGTGAGTGCATTCTCACAAGATTTGACAGTTTTATAAGGGGCTTTTCACCCTTTTACTCATTCACTTCTTTTCCTGCTGCCATGTGAAGAAGGAAATGTTTGCTTCCCCTTCCTCTATAATTGTAAGTTTCCTGAGGCCTCTCTAGCTATACTGAACTGTGAGTCAATTAAACTTCTTTCCTTTATAAATTACCCAGTCTTGGGTATGTCTTTATTAGGAGTGTGAGAATAGACCAATACACATTTAATATGTTGAATTTTAATTTAACATTGTAAAATAACCAAAAAGAAACTTGCATACTGGAAAATGTAGTCACTGTA